GTAGACCCAACAACCATCAAGTGTTATTCTGAACACATTTAGACTGTCATTATTGTAGACCCAACAACCATCAAGTGTGTTATATCTGAACACATTTAGACTGTCATTATTGTAGACCCAACAACCATCAAGTGTTATATCTGAACACATTTAGACTGTCATTATTGTAGACCCAACAACCATCAAGTGTTATTTCTGAACACATTTAGACTGTCATTAATGTAGACCCAACAACCATCAAGTGTTATATCTGAACACATTTAGACTGTCATTATTGTAGACCCAACAACCATCAAGTGTTATTCTGAACACATTTAGACTGTCATTAACGTAGACCGAACAACCATCAAGTATTATTCTGAACACATTTAGACAGTCATTAATGTAGACCAAACAACCATCAAGTATTATTCTGAACACATTTAGACTGTCATTAATGTAGACCCAACAACCATCAAGTGTTATTCTGAACACATTTAGACTGTCATTATTGTAGACCCAACAACCATCAAGTGTGTTATATCTGAACACATTTAGACTGTCATTATTGTAGACCCAACAACCATCAAGTGTTATATCTGAACACATTTAGACTGTCATTATTGTAGACCCAACAACCATCAAGTGTTATTTCTGAACACATTTAGACTGTCATTAATGTAGACCCAACAACCATCAAGTGTTATATCTGAACACATTTAGACTGTCATTAATGTAGACCCAACAACCATCAAGTGTTATAACTGAACACATTTAGACTGTCATTATTGTAGACCCAACAACCATCAAGTGTTATTTCTGAACACATTTAGACTGTCATTAATGTAGACCCAACAACCATCAAGTGTTATTTCTGAACACATTTAGACTGTCATTAATGTAGACCCAACAACCATCAAGTGTTATTTCTGAACACATTTAGACTGTCATTAATGTAGACCCAACAACCACCAAGTATTATTCTGAACACATTTAGACTGTCATTATTGTAGACCCAACAACCATCAAGTGTTATTTCTGAACACATTTAGACTGTCATTAATGTAGACCCAACAACCATCAAGTATTATTCTGAACACATTTAGACTGTCATTAACGTAGACCGAACAACCATCAAGTATTATTCTGAACACATTTAGACTGTCATTAATGTAGACCCAACAACCATCAAGTGTTATTCTGAACACATTTAGACTGTCATTATTGTAGACCCAACAACCATCAAGTGTGTTATATCTGAACACATTTAGACTGTCATTATTGTAGACCCAACAACCATCAAGTGTTATATCTGAACACATTTAGACTGTCATTATTGTAGACCCAACAACCATCAAGTGTTATTTCTGAACACATTTAGACTGTCATTAATGTAGACCCAACAACCATCAAGTGTTATATCTGAACACATTTAGACTGTCATTAATGTAGACCCAACAACCATCAAGTGTTATATCTGAACACATTTAGACTGTCATTAATGTAGACCCAACAACCATCAAGTGTTATTTCTGAACACATTTAGACTGTCATTAATGTAGACCCAACAACCATCAAGTGTTATTTCTGAACACATTTAGACTGTCATTAATGTAGACCCAACAACCACCAAGTATTATTCTGAACACATTTAGACTGTCATTATTGTAGACCCAACAACCATCAAGTGTTATTTCTGAACACATTTAGACTGTCATTAATGTAGACCCAACAACCATCAAGTATTATTCTGAACACATTTAGACTGTCATTAACGTAGACCGAACAACCATCAAGTATTATTCTGAACACATTTAGACTGTCATTAATGTAGACCAAACAACCATCAAGTATTATTCTGAACACATTTAGACTGTCATTAATGTAGACCCAACAACCATCAAGTGTTATTCTGAACACATTTAGACTGTCATTATTGTAGACCCAACAACCATCAAGTGTGTTATATCTGAACACATTTAGACTGTCATTATTGTAGACCCAACAACCATCAAGTGTTATATCTGAACACATTTAGACTGTCATTATTGTAGACCCAACAACCATCAAGTGTTATTTCTGAACACATTTAGACTGTCATTAATGTAGACCCAACAACCATCAAGTGTTATATCTGAACACATTTAGACTGTCATTATTGTAGACCCAACAACCATCAAGTGTTATTCTGAACACATTTAGACTGTCATTAACGTAGACCGAACAACCATCAAGTATTATTCTGAACACATTTAGACAGTCATTAATGTAGACCAAACAACCATCAAGTATTATTCTGAACACATTTAGACTGTCATTAATGTACACCCAACAACCATCAAGTGTTATTCTGAACACATTTAGACTGTCATTATTGTAGACCCAACAACCATCAAGTGTGTTATATCTGAACACATTTAGACTGTCATTATTGTAGACCCAACAACCATCAAGTGTTATATCTGAACACATTTAGACTGTCATTATTGTAGACCCAACAACCATCAAGTGTTATTTCTGAACACATTTAGACTGTCATTAATGTAGACCCAACAACCATCAAGTGTTATATCTGAACACATTTAGACTGTCATTAATGTAGACCCAACAACCATCAAGTGTTATATCTGAACACATTTAGACTGTCATTATTGTAGACCCAACAACCATCAAGTGTTATTTCTGAACACATTTAGACTGTCATTAATGTAGACCCAACAACCATCAAGTATTATTCTGAACACATTTAGACTGTCATTAATGTAGACCGAACAACCATCAAATATTATTCTGAACACATTTAGACTGTCATTAATGTAGACCCAACAACCATCAAGTATTATTCTGAACACATTTAGACTGTCATTAATGTAGACCCAACAACCATCAAGTGTTATATCTGAACACATTTAGACTGTCATTAATGTAGACCCAACAACCATCAAGTGTTATAACTGAACACATTTAGACTGTCATTATTGTAGACCCAACAACCATCAAGTGTTATATCTGAACACATTTAGACTGTCATTAATGTAGACCCAACAACCATCAAGTGTTATTTCTGAACACATTTAGACTGTCATTAATGTAGACCCAACAACCATCAAGTGTTATTTCTGAACACATTTAGACTGTCATTAATGTAGACCCAACAACCACCAAGTATTATTCTGAACACATTTAGACTGTCATTATTGTAGACCCAACAACCATCAAGTGTTATTTCTGAACACATTTAGACTGTCATTAATGTAGACCCAACAACCATCAAGTATTATTCTGAACACATTTAGACTGTCATTAACGTAGACCGAACAACCATCAAGTATTATTCTGAACACATTTAGACTGTCATTAATGTAGACCAAACAACCATCAAGTATTATTCTGAACACATTTAGACTGTCATTAATGTAGACCCAACAACCATCAAGTGTTATTCTGAACACATTTAGACTGTCATTATTGTAGACCCAACAACCATCAAGTGTGTTATATCTGAACACATTTAGACTGTCATTACTGTAGACCCAACAACCATCAAGTGTTATATCTGAACACATTTAGACTGTCATTATTGTAGACCCAACAACCATCAAGTGTTATTTCTGAACACATTTAGACTGTCATTAATGTAGACCCAACAACCATCAAGTGTTATATCTGAACACATTTAGACTGTCATTATTGTAGACCCAACAACCATCAAGTGTTATTTCTGAACACATTTAGACTGTCATTAATGTAGACCCAACAACAATCAAGTATAATTCTGAACACATTTAGACTGTCATTAATGTAGACCGAACAACCATCAAATATTATTCTGAACACATTTAGACTGTCATTAATGTAGACCGAACAACCACCAAGTATTATTCTGAACACATTTAGACTGTCATTATTGTAGACCCAACAACCATCAAGTGTTATTTCTGAACACATTTAGACTGTCATTAATGTAGACCCAACAACCATCAAGTATTATTCTGAACACATTTAGACTGTCATTAACGTAGACCGAACAACCATCAAGTATTATTCTGAACACATTTAGACTGTCATTAATGTAGACCAAACAACCATCAAGTATTATTCTGAACACATTTAGACTGTCATTAATGTAGACCCAACAACCATCAAGTGTTATTCTGAACACATTTAGACTGTCATTAATGTAGACCCAACAACCATCAAGTGTTATTTCTGAACACATTTAGACTGTCATTAATGTAGACCCAACAACCACCAAGTATTATTCTGAACACATTTAGACTGTCATTATTGTAGACCCAACAACCATCAAGTGTTATTTCTGAACACATTTAGACTGTCATTAATGTAGACCCAACAACCATCAAGTATTATTCTGAACACATTTAGACTGTCATTAACGTAGACCGAACAACCATCAAGTATTATTCTGAACACATTTAGACAGTCATTAATGTAGACCAAACAACCATCAAGTATTATTCTGAACACATTTAGACTGTCATTAATGTAGACCCAACAACCATCAAGTGTTATTCTGAACACATTTAGACTGTCATTATTGTAGACCCAACAACCATCAAGTGTGTTATATCTGAACACATTTAGACTGTCATTATTGTAGACCCAACAACCATCAAGTGTTATATCTGAACACATTTAGACTGTCATTATTGTAGACCCAACAACCATCAAGTGTTATTTCTGAACACATTTAGACTGTCATTAATGTAGACCCAACAACCATCAAGTGTTATATCTGAACACATTTAGACTGTCATTATTGTAGACCCAACAACCATCAAGTGTTATTTCTGAACACATTTAGACTGTCATTAATGTAGACCCAACAACCATCAAGTATTATTCTGAACACATTTAGACTGTCATTAATGTAGACCCAACAACCATCAAATATTATTCTGAACACATTTAGACTGTCATTAATGTAGACCCAACAACCATCAAGTATTATTCTGAACACATTTAGACTGTCATTAATGTAGACCCAACAACCATCAAGTGTTATTTCTGAACACATTTAGACTGTCATTGTTGTCATTGTAGACCCAGCAACTATAAAGTGTTATTTCTGAACACAGTTAGACTGTCATTAATGTAGACCCAACAACCATCAAGTGTTATTTCTGAACACATTTAGACTGTCATTGTTGTCATTGTAGACCCAACAACCATCAAGTATTATTCTGAACACATTTAGACTGTCATTAATGTAGACACTCATATGTCCAAACGGTTTCTGAAGATGCCAATAAAATATTATTCTGTTGTTCAAAGGGAGTTTTGTATTTGTTTTCATACCCTCAGTGATTTGTTTCCAAGACATACGTACACGTTTCCCGAACACCCGGTGTCATTACAGTGAGTGAGTGAGTGAGTGAGTTTGGTTTACGACGCTTTAAGCAATATTCCAGCAATATCACGGCGGGGCAGACCAGAAATGGTCTTCACACATTGTACCCTTCGGCGTGACGAGCGAACGCTTTAACCATTACGCTACCCCACCGCCCCCGGTGTCATCACAGATTGTCGGTGATCAAGTATATCATTTCCTTCACAATTTTGGCATATGCTACCAATGGAATCTGTTTCGACAGACAATCTGATTATTATCTGGTATTTTGAAGTAAAATTCCAAGAGTATATTATGAAAGGAAAAACTGCGTGGTCAACATAGAACCAAGACATGAAAGAACTGTCAATCAGCGGATCCTGGAGACAAAGGGACGCAAAAAACTGCCAAGCGACTTGTCTCCTAGAGCCCCGAATGATGAGTGCTTGATGTGGTTTCATGCCTCTTTCAGCAATTGTCCAGAAATGCCACGGCAGGTGGACACCAGAAATGGGCTTCACACATTGTACCCATGTGGAAAATCGAGTCCGGATCTAACGCGTGACTCGCGAAAGCTTTAACCACTGGGCTACCCCTAACCCATTGTACCCATGTGGGGAAGCGAACTCGGCATTCAACGTGACGGGCGAACACTTAAGCCCCAATGAGACACGTGTGATGTTATTGATGGGGAAGGAAACACAAGGCTCGCTCCAGCGGTGACTAATCTGGATATTTTTGTTCATTTTCACACAAGATATGTTATCTTATCGTGATTCAAACGAAAATGGCTACAGGCTTGGTGTGTGTGTTGTTGAGTGTACCACTCGTGTCAGCACTTCTGTGTAAGTACTAACATGTGTTTGGAAAATGTCGTATTTTTCATGGTTATGTATCCTTCATGTTGCAGTTACAAAATGTCAACTGTTATATATTAGGGAATATTCGACCATGCAAATGTACAATCGCCAAAGCGGAATAGCTGATAATACAGATTTAACTGTCAATAGAAAGCAGGGAGAGCTGTTATCAGTGTATAATATATTATAATACCATGATCGAGAAATCGCATTAAAAAGCATATTTTTTAATCCCCCTCCACCACAGTTCATCACAGCGTAGTTGCATTGCTCGATCACTGGTTCATATAGATTACTTGGTTTGTTGTTGAACGCCGCTCTCAGCAATATTCCAGCCGGGTGATGACGGTTTGGAAATAAGCATGAGCATCACTCGACGCAATTGGGTCACGATGACATGTCATCGTGCCTGACTACCCGATACCCGCAGTAGCCTCTTAACACCAAATCTAACCCGGATCTTCACGGGTGGTTCATATAAATGGTTCATACGGCATACGTATTGGTGAGACACCTCGTGGCAAGACTTTTGGAACGTCAAAACGTCTAGACAGCTTTCATGAGAAACCATGACGTCATGATGTTGTTGAGATGCGGTGATGAGATTCCACAACGCTTATCAACATCCGATATCACCAAGAAAAAAACAACAGATTAAAACACCGTAATAGTGGTCAAGCTCTGATATTTGGTTCATTTATACAACCACGTACCGTGATCACTAAAATGAAAATGAACTATCCTTCAGCTTGTCTGTGCGTTTAGACAGTGTTGCTTTCATATCAGCTTCCTGGGGAAGGATGGCCATCAGCTTCCTATTGGAGGAAAGATTGAATAATGCAATTCATGATGCAAGACGTGTACAGAAGCTGAAACCCGGATATGGTGCTTACAAACCATGAAACATAATCAGGGCGAAACTGGGATTCGACCCCACGTTCATAGGTTTGTGACATATCTAAGGGACGTAATTCCTCCCTGGGAATGCGCCGTTTACACCCGGTACGATATTTATCTTTGAGATTTTTGCGGAATAATAGTTTGCTGAAAAGGGATATTGTCTGTCCTGTTGTAAAGTTATCACCAAGTGGTCCTAATTGCGTAGATCGATGCTCATGCTGCTGATCACTGGATTGTCTGGTCCAGACTACTCGATTGTTTACGGAATATTGCTGAGTGCGGCGTTCAAACAACAAGCAAAACAAACCATTTCTGGTAGATCTTATCTCTTCCAGTTACTCTAGACCAAATTTACTATGATTATCGAACATATATCAGTTGTTCGAAATAAGCAAGGATAATAGCAGTGTATGATATTAAGCCCGTCCGACCGCCTGGTACGGTCTATATTTCTAACGGACGGTCTAAATTTACAGCTAGCCAGCCCGATGGTCTGGTAAACATTTGAGATGTTCCATACATCTGAGTAAGTTCTGGTTAAATTCAGTTTGGGCTGATAACATTTTGAAGTTACCAGCCCCTGATGTCTGGCTGGATTTTTGGCTTATTTCATACACTGATAATGGCTCTACAACAAGGGTACACTAAATGCGGGTCCCCTGTATCTTTGCCTCTTGTAGTTGACGGGTCGTGTCGAGGAAGATGCCACAAGTATGTCGCCAACAGCGTGTGTTTCTGTAACGACCAGTGTACACGGTTTGGGGACTGTTGCCCCGACTATAAACAGGAATGCGGTGAGTAAAGGGATGGACATTATAACACTGTTGAAGGTGGACTGTTCTGGTCACCGTGACGTTATTTCCCTAGTTTTAATGCAGGTTTCCCTGTGCTCTGTACATCCCTAGTGTGATGCGTGGCCTTTGTTACCCAGATTTTAATGTAGGTACCTGTGTCCTCTATGTTTCTCTTTTTAACAACAGACATCCCAGGTTAGCGCAAGTCTCCGTATGCTCTATGGTTCTCTAGTTTATTGCAGGCTTCTTTATGTTCTGTGGTTCTCTAGTTTATTGCAGGCTTCTTTATGTTCTGTGGTTCTCTAGTTTATTGCAGGCTTCTTTATGTTCTGTGGTTCTCTAGTTTATTGCAGGCTTCTTTATGTTCTTTGGTTCTCTAGTTTATTGCAGGCTTCTTTATGTTCTTTGGTTCTCTAGTTTATTGCAGGCTTCTTTATGTTCTTTGGTTCTCTAGTTTATTGCAGGCTTCTTTATGTTCTTTGGTTCTCTAGTTTATTGAAGGCTTCTTTATGTTCTTTGGTTCTCTAGTTTATTGCAGGCTTCTTTATGTTCTGTGGTTCTCTAGTTTATTGAAGGCTTCTTTATGTTCTTTGGTTCTCTAGTTTATTGCAGGCTTCTTTATGTTCTTTGGTTCTCTAGTTTATTGCAGGCTTCTTTATGTTCTTTGGTTCTCTAGTTTATTGTAGGCTTCTTTATGTTCTTTGGTTCTCTAGTTTATTGCAGGCTTCTTTATGTTCTGTGGTTCTCTAGTTTATTGCAGGCTTCTTTATGTTCTGTGGTTCTCTAGTTTATTGCAGGCTTCTTTATGTTCTGTGTTTCTTTAGTTTATTGCAGGCTTCTTTATGTTCTTTGGTTCTCTAGTTTATTGCAGGCTTCTTTATGTTCTGTGTTTCTCTAGTTTTAATGCATTTCTCTCTGTGTTTTATGATTCTCCAGCTTAATGCAGGTCCCTGTGTTCTATCATTCTCTAGTTCTAGGTGACCGTGTGTTCTGTGTTTCTCAAGTCTTATTGCAAATTTCCCAGTGGTCTGAGTTTCTCTTGTTTCATATAGGTTTCCTGTGTGCTGTGTTTCCCTAGTTTAATGCATGTCTCCGTGTGTCCTGTGTTCACTTGTAAATAACAGGCCTCCGTGTGTCTCCTTAGTTTGCTGCAGGTCTCTGTGCACTCCGAGTTCAACTAGTTTAATGCAGGCCTCCATGTTTTCCAAGTTTTCCCAGTTTAATGGATACCTCTGTGCTTTATATTTCCCCAGTTTAATGGAGGTATCTGTGCTTTATGTTTCGACAGTTTAATGGAGGTCTCTGTGTTTTATGTTTCCCTAGTTTAATGGATATCTCTGTGCTTTATGTTTCCTTAGTTTCATGGAGGTCTCTGTGTTTTATGTTTCCCCAGTTTAATGGATATATGTTTGCTTTATATTTCCCCAGTTTAATGGAGGTTTCTGTGTTTTATGTTTCCCCAGGTTAATAAAGGTCTCTGTGCTTTATGTTTCCCTAGTTTAATGGAGGTATCTGTGTTTTATGTTTCCCCAGGTTAATAAAGGTCTCTGTGCTTTATGTTTCCCCAGTTTAATGGAGGTCTCTGTGTTTTATGTTTCCTCAGTTTAATGGAGGTCTCTGTGTTTTATGTTTCCCCAGTTTAATGGAGGTCTCTGTGTTTTATGTTTCCCCAGTTTAATGGAGGTCTCTGTGTTTTATGTTTCCCTAGTTTAATGGAGGTCTCTGTGTTTTATGTTTCCCCAGTTTAATGGAGGTCTCTGTGTTTTATGTTTCCCAGTTTAATGGAGGTCTCTGTGTTTTATGTTTCCCCAGTTTAATGGAGGTATCTGTGTTTTATGTTTCCCCAGTTTAATGGAGGTCTCTGTGTTTTATGTTTCCCCAGTTTAATGGAGGTCTCTGTGTTTTATGTTTCCCCAGTTTAATGGAGGTCTCTGTGTTTTATGTTTCCCCAGTTTAATGGAGGTCTCTGTGCTTTATGTTTCCTTAGTTTAATGGAGGTCTCTGTGTTTTATGTTTCCCCAGTTTAATGGATATATGTGTGCTTTATATTTCCCCAGTTTAATGGAGGTCTCTGTGTTTTATGTTTCCCCAGTTTAATGGAGGTCTCTGTGTTTTATGTTTCCCTAGTTTAATGGAGGTCTCTGTGTTTTATGTTTCCCCAGTTTAATGGAGGTCTCTGTGTTTTATGTTTCCCCAGTTTAATGGAGGAGTCTCTCTGTGTTTTATGTTTCCCCAGTTTAATGGAGGTCTCTGTGTTTTATGTTTCCCTAGTTTAATGGAGGTCTCTGTGTTTTATGTTTCCCAGTTTAATGGAGGTCTCTGTGTTTTATGTTTTCCTCCCTAGTTTAATGGAGGTCTCTGTGTTTTATGTTTCCCCAGTTTAATGGAGGTCTCTGTGTTTTTATGTTTCCCCAGTTTAATGGAGGTCTCTGTGTTTTATGTTTCCCCAGTTTAATGGAGGTCACTGTGTTTTATGTTTCCCTAGTTAAATGGAGGTCTCTGTGTTTTATGTTTCCCCAGTTTAATGGAGGTCTCTGTGTTTTATGTTTCCCTAGTTTAATGGAGGTCTCTGTGCTCTACGTTACCCTAGTTTAATGGAGGTCTCTGTGTTTTATGTTTCCCCAGTTTAATGGAGGTCTCTGTGTTTTATGTTTCCCCAGTTTAATGGATACCACTGTGCTTTACGTTTTCCTTGTTTAATGGAGGTCTCTGTGTTTTATGTTTCCCCAGTTTAATGGAGGTCTCTGTGTTTTATGTTTCCCCAGTTTAATGGATACCACTGTGCTTTACGTTTTCCTTGTTTAATGGATACCACTGTGTTTTATGTTTCCCCAGTTTAATGGAGGTCTCTGTGTTTTATGTTTCCCCAGTTTAATGGAGGTCTCTGTGTTTTATGTTTCCCCAGTTTAATGGATACCACTGTGCTTTACGTTTTCCTTGTTTAATGGAGGTCTCTGTGTTTTATGTTTCCCCAGTTTAATGGATACCACTGTGCTTTACGTTTTCCTTGTTTAATGGATACCACTGTGTTTTATGTTTCCCCAGTTTAATGGAGGTCTCTGTGTTTTATGTTTCCCCAGTTTAATGGAGGTCTCTGTCTCTGTGTTTTTATGTTTCCCCAGTTTGGAGGTCTCTGTGTTTTATGTTTCCCCAGTTTAATGGATACCACTGTGTTTTATGTTTCCCCAGTTTAATGGAGGTCTCTGTGTTTTATGTTTCCCCTTTTTAATGGAGGTCTCTGTGTTTTATGTTTCCCCAGTTTAATGGATACCACTGTGCTTTACGTTTTCCTAGTTTAGTGGAGGTCACTGTGTTTCATGTCTCCCTAGTTTAATGGAGGTCTCTGTGTTTTATGTTTCCCCAGTTTATGTTTCCCCAGTTTAATGGAGGTCTCTGTGTTTTATGTTTCCCCAGTTTATTGGAGGTCTCTGTGTTTTATGTTTCCCCAGTTTAATGGAGGTCTCTGTGTTTTATGATTCCCCAGTTTAATGGATACCTCTGTGCTTTATATTTCCCCAGTTTAATGGAGGTCTCTGTGTTTTATGTTTCCCTAGTTTAGTGGAGGTCACTGTGTTTCATGTCTCCCTAGTTTAATGGAGGTCTCTGTGTTTTATGTTTCCCCAGTTTCATGGAGGTCTTTGTGTTTTATGTTTCCCTAGTTTAATGGAGTTATCTGTGTTTTATGTTTCCCCATTTTAATGGAGGTCTCTGTGTTTTATGATTCCCCAGTTTCATGGAGGTCTTTGTGTTTTATGTTTCCCTAGTTTAATGGAGGTCTCTGTGTTTTATGATTCCCCAGTTTAATGGATACCTCTGTGCTTTACGATTTCCTAGTTTAATGGAGGTCTCTGTGTTTTATGTTTCCCCGGTTAAATAGAGGTCTCTGTGTTTTATGTTTCCCCTTTTTAAATGGATACCTCTGTGCTTTATATTTCCACAGTTTAATGGAGGTCTCTGTGTTTTATGTTTCCCTAGTTTAGTGGAGGTCTCTGTGTTTTATGTTTCCCCTTTTTAAATGGATACCTCTGTGCTTTATATTTCCACAGTTTAATGGAGGTCTCTGTGCTTTATGTTTCCCCAGTTTAATGGAGGTCTCTGTGTTTTATGTTTCCCCAGTTTATTGGAGGTCTTTGTGTTTTATGTTTCCCTAGTTTAATGGAGGTCTCTGTGTTTTATGATTCCCCAGTTTAATGGATACCTCTGTGCTTTCCGATTTCCTAGTTTAATGGAGGTCTCTGTGTTTTATGTTTCCCCGGTTAAATAGAGGTCTCTGTGTTTTATGTTTCCCCTTTTTAAATGGATACCTCTGTGATTTCGCTTTATATTTCCCCAGTTTAATGGAAGTCTCTGTGCTTTGTGCTTCCCTAGTTTAATGGAGTTATCTGTGTTTTATGTTTCCCTAGTTTAATGGAGGTCTCTGTGTTTTATGTTTCCCTAGCTTAATGGAGGTCTATGTGCTTTATGTTTCCCCATTTTAATGGAGGTCTCTGTGCTTTATGTTTCCCCAGTTAATGGATATCTCTGTTTTTTCTGTTTCTCATAGTTTAATGCAGGTATCTGTCTATGTTTTCTACAGGCACGTGTGCGGGGAAGTGCCACAACTTCTATGACTCTGCACTACCCTGTCAATGTAATGATCGATGTTCCGAATACAGCAACTGCTGTGCTGACTACAAGACACTTTGTGCTCAAGGTGACGTGGTTTATATATGCATAAGCATCAGAATCTCTTCACCATTTCCATAGCAGATGTTCTCTAAGATAAAATGTTATTTTTTGTTTCAACAAAATCAGCAAATACGTTACCACGATTTTCTCGTCCCCCTCTCTAACCGTAACCCCGATGTCTACATGCTGTTGCTACCATAACAGAATGTTCTCTATAAGACGTTATAATGATGACAGAATACCTGTATATTACGTTTATATAACAACACCCTCTTTTCTTACATCACTATATTTGACGTTATTACGATGACAGGATAACCTCAATATGACGTCACAATGATGATAGAATAACCTCTATATAACGTTACGCTCATCTTTAGTCATCTGTAGAAAATGGGTACCCGGTGGGATAAGTCACGACTATTAACCTTCTAGCGCCTAACAGGCAGCTTGGGTTATCCGTAATAATGTCCATTATGTTGTATGTGCTTAGATCATGTCCCTGGGGCGTGGCGTTCAGCGCTATGCTAGTGGCCATATTAATATTATTATCTGTATGATGTTATTTCTATGACACATTCTATACTGTTTGTATGATGTCATTATCATGACAAAATTCCATCTGTATGACGTCACTATAATAATACGAGGTAATCTATGGTGTTACTAAAATAACACAGTACGGCCGTTCGAAGTGCAATGTCTTCCTGTTCTACATCAGCTCTGATAGCAGACAAGTTGTGGAAGATTGATGTGCACAGATTTGAAGCTGACGAAATCACAGTCAACTACGGATCCAGTATGGCCGTAAACGACAGTTTTAGCCAACCAGCACAACCGTGAGTGGTTTTTGTTGTAATATTCAACAAACTGGTAGTTTGCACAGCATGTTGAAGAAAGAAGTCGTTTTTAACATCAAAGAAATTAAGATATCCATTTATACGTTTTAGGTTAGGTTTGATCAACATAATGGTAAACGAAGGAAGACGTTTTTATACTAAACGATGCAAGAGAATGTGCCCAATGTGTAATATAGATGTGGAAAATGAAATCCATTGTTTACTTGTATGTCCTTTGTATAAAGATTTGCGTACGAAATATAGCTGAATATTATCTATGTAAGCCGCCTACATTAGCATTTAAACTACTTCTTTCATCAACTGACCAGCATGTAATAATAAAGCTGCCGTACTATATCAATTATGCTCTTATTAAACGTAACAATCTGATAAAAAGTGTTGTAGGTCCATCGTATTTCACTACTTGTACATAATTTACTGCCTGTATCATGATTTTCTGTTTGGATCACTAATTACTACTTATTGCACCATATGTATAATGTATATGTATAACTCCAATGTATATGGGCCGGAGGCCTTTTGTACAATAAACATCTTTGACTTGACATTAGTACGAACACTTGAATGATTGAATTCCATGAAGAACCGGGAACTGGTTCTCAACAACCCACGCTTGTGACAAGAGGCGACTTATGGCCGCAGATGGACAGGCTCACTGATCTGGTTGATGAATGTCATCGTATCACAATTGCGTAGATCGATGCTCATGATGTCAATCACTGAATTGTCTGGTCCAACTGGAATTATGCCGATTATGACGTTAAACAATAAACAAACAAAACGATAAACTAAGAACATTGATGTAGTAGTCTGAGGCGTGTCTTGCAAGGTAGCACACCTGACATTGAACTCAGTTACCTCAGAATGAGTGAGAATTCGGATTCAATTTGTATATGGCGTGACAACCTTAACCAAAGGACTACCGCATCGCCCCTCGGTATAATTTCACTTGGTATCCCAAACACTTCAGTTTGAAAGTCGCGTTTGCACTGCAGCTAGGCGGTGAGTGAGTGAGCTAAAAGCGTTGAGTTCGAAGAGGAGCCGTGCAAGAACCTATGTTTGAGTCCTAGAATCAACCAGCTCAGGGCTTCTGTTTCTGAAAGCCAAGCCGAAGTGGTAATCGTCTGAGACCTAGATGCTTGAGTGTCATTTTAGAAGATGCTATTTGATGAACATAAAGAATTTTCTGGCTTTCATCTTTTTATTATTTGGTACAACGTTTCAGGGCTTGTTCTGACCCCATCATCAGGTAGAACTAAAGAACAGTAACTCTGTCCCATTCCAACATTTAGTTACTGTTCTTAGTTGACCTGATGATGGGGCTAGAACAAGCTGAAACATGTACCAAATAATAAAAAAAGATGAAACCCAGAAAATTATCTACGTTTGTCTGAGACCTGCATTACTTCCGGTGTTCCTCCAGCAAGCTGAGCTCCTACTGAAAGCGACGTCAAAGTAGACACACTATCAAAAATCTACTGCCTTATAACAATCTCTTCCCATTTCGTAATAACTGTTTAGGGCCGAGACGCAACACCTTGGATGTGTTCCTTTTGATATGCTGTATAAATCATTAAGGAAACATAATACAGACAATTTTAACGATAATGATATTTTTTCAGATTATTTACCAAAGTGAATGAGAGCCGTTTTACGCATCCTACATACAAGACGTTCATCGCTCTTATAAACAGCTATGACCCTCCAGTTGGTCAAACAAACCCCGGGGTTCCAGCTGACCAATCTCTTGTGGATGCCTTTTTAGATTCGTTGTTTACGTCGGAGGTGACACGAGCAGCGCATGCACATCTCCTTGAAAACAGTAAGTTCCACAAAAAATGTTTTACATAAAAAATGTTTCGGTTTCTTATGCAACAATACATAATGATACCATGAAACCGACTGATGTGTGGGTTCAGCTACCATAAAGAGGGCTAATCATAGTTAACCATGTCTGCCCAGTGTCGGTTAAATGAAGACCTCCCGGTTAATGAAGGAGGAAAATTCAAATTCACGCAGATTACATATTTTCTGAATAGCTGGACCGCACTTAAGAACCAGAAATCATAATATAAGTGGAACTGGAATATTGAACCTCACTGTTAGCGGATCCTGGCTCCGCTATGAAACGCAATTCGTCATTGCGGTGTTCGACGCCTTAAACCGTACAGACCCGTGAAGATCCGGGTTAGAATTGATCTTCAGTAACCCATGCTTGGCGTAAGAGGCGACTAACGGGATCGGGTGGTCAGGCTAGCTGACTTGGTTGAAACATGTCATCGGTTCCTAATTGCGTAGATCGATGTTCATGCTGTTGATCACTGGATTGTCTGGTCCAGACTCGGTTATTACAAACCGCCGCCATATAGCTGGAGTGCGGCGTAAAACTAAACTCACTCATTAAACCGTACATCAAGCGCGGTGACCTCTTGAACGTTTTTGTGTCTCTCAGATAAAGATCGCAGGCAAGTTTCAACAGTATTTCAGTTACCTCACAGTGTGTCAGCTTGATGTGGGAGGAAAGGTCTAAAACAATGCCAGACTTTCTGTTTTACCATTATTTCGACACCCCACTGTACGGATCGTGTGCTGACAAAGTCAGCGAACCGAGATTCAACCCCTCGATCATAGAATTCTGAAACCCCTGGCATTTGTTTGAGTCTTCTGTAACACCTGTTCTCAGATACTTTATCGACGATACACAGCTGACTTGTATGAAACCCTTTTCAGAGGTCCCCCCACTGCTGAAACATTGCTAAAAGCGGCATAAAATCTGACTCATAACTTAACTTAACTATACGTAATTTTACTTGATCTGGTCAAACATACCTTTACAGTTTGAAAAACCGCAGTCTAAGTCATGGTTTTAAACTAACTTTTCCTTTTCAGATTATTTTAGCGGCAACTTGTCAGATTACCGCCGCACTCTAACCCAGCTCTGGTTTAAGCCCTACACGAGCAGCGGATCAACGTCTAACATCACCGGCTTTCAAATGATGATGTTAAGCAAAGAGGGAGGATCCAGTCTCATTGGGCCTCACAACTGGGTTCGATTCTATCTTGAAGAAAAAGCCGGCAGAATCAGTTACAGGGGATACACCAAGAAAACCGACGTAGGTTGGGCTTCTATACTATTTAAATATAAAGCTTTCCAACCTATCCGGCTTGCACGAAAGCACTCGCTTGCCACGCGCCTGGTATTTGGTTTCCTCTTATACCCACTTAAGAAATTGGATGAGTGTATTCCTTTGATAAAGGTTCAGTATTATATGAAGAGCTCAAAGATCCTAGTTAGAGCTGTACAGTGACCAGTCTCAATATCCATACAAATATTTTGGGGGGTTATTCCAGATCCTAGTTGAAGCTGCGGAAATACTGACTGACTGAGTTTGGTTTTACGCCGCTTTTAGCAATATTCCAGCAACATCACGGCGGGGAACACCAGAAATGGGCTTCACACATTGTACCCATGTGGGGATTCGAACCCGGGTCTTCGGCGTGACGAGCCAACGCTTTAACCATTAGGCTACCCCACCGCCCCGTAACCGGAAATAATATTCTGGGATTTGTTTTGAATGTTGCATTTGACGCAGTGTTGACTTTGCCCATAAACAACAAACCACAAACGTATGATTTCTGTATTCCAGTTCCCGTTAAGGCAGGGTTATAAAGTGCCCAGTAAGAACATTACAACATCTTTACTTCTGTATTCCAGTTCCTAGTTGAAGCTGTCTTCACTGCATCTAGTACTAACATTCCAAGTGTTGAATCTGCCCATAACCAACAATACACAAATCATGTATTGTTCTATATTTCAATTCCTGGTTAAGGCAATGTTTACTGTGCTGTAAGACCATTTCAATATATATTCTTCTATGTTCTAGTTCCTGGTTAAGGCAGTGTTTACTGTGTCGAAAAAGGAACATTTCAATATCTATTGTTCTATATTCCAATTCCTGGTTAAGGCAGTGTTTACTGTGTCGAAAAAGGAACATTTCAATATCTCTTCTTCTATATTCCAGTTCCTGGTTAAGGCAGTGTTTACTGTGCCGAAAAGGAACATTTCAATATCTCTTCTTCTATATTCCAATTCCTGGTTAAGGCAGTGTTTACTGTGCCGAAAAAGAACATTTCAATATCTCTTCTTCTATATTCCAATTCCTGGTTAAGGCAGTGTTTACTGTGCCGAAAAGGAACATTTCTATATCTCTTCTTCTATATTCCAATTCCTGGTTAAGGCAGTGTTTACTGTGCCGAAAAGGAACATTTCAATATCTCTTCTTCTATATTCCAATTCCTGGTTAAGGCAGTGTTTACTGTGCCGAAAAGGAACATTTCAATATATATTCTTCTATATTCCAGTTCCTGGTGGAAGCAGTGTTTACTGTGCCGAAAAGGAACATTTCAATATATATTCTTCTATATTCCAGTTCCTGGTTAAGGCAGTGTTTACTGTGCCGAAAAGGAACATTTCAATATATATTCTTCTATATTCCAGTTCCTGGTGGAAGCAGTGTTCACGGTGCCAAGTAACACCATCTCAGCAGCCACCAGCTTCTTCCTCGGCAGCAGCCCTATATTTGACATCAACTTGAGCACCATCTGTGCCCTCAGCAACTCTACTGGCACCTGTAGTTATAAGATCGACAGCACCCCGTTCAGTGTCGTGACTCACAGACAAGGCATAGTGGTTACCGAGGCGTATCCTTCTCTGTAATGTTTCAATAAAGATCAAAGGATGTGGCCAGAAACTAGATTTTGTTTCAAATACCTTTGATGGCATGTACGATACTTGTGGAAGTATTAACAAATTTACGCCACACTCAGCAATATTCTAGCTATATGGCGGCGTTCTGTGATGGGAGGTGAAATTGGGTTTAACGTCGTGCTTGAGAATATTTCGCTCATATGACTACGTGCATGCGGATGTATGTGTATGTGCGGCTGCTTGTACTAGCCAGAACTGAAGCTGGTTTTATAGTGCTAGCCCACTGAGATACCATGCCGCAGTTAAGCATGAGTACCCCACTCAGACACATTATACTGACTCCGAGTCGACCAGTCCTTGTTGTACCCATTAATGCCGAGCGTCAGGCAGGGACCAACAAGTACCATAATTTAACGTCTTTTGGTATGACGCGGTCGGGGATCGAACCCGCGACCTTCCGCTCTCCGGGCGGACGCTCTAACCACTACACCACGGAGGCGGTCCCCGACGTTCCGTAAATAAGCGAGTCTGGACCAGACAATCCAGTGATCAACAGCATGGGCTACGATCTACGCATTTGGTATGCGATGACATGTGCAAACCAAGTCAGCGAGGCTGACCATCCGATCCCGTTAGACGCCTCTTATGACAAGCATGGGTTACTGAAGATCAATTCTAACCCGGACCTTCACTGGTAAATTACTATACAACAGATGGATACTATGTTTCAAGTTAGACTCCACTTACCAAAAGTATGTCCCGAAAAATATTACAAGCTTAATATCACCATGATTTTATACACACCTTTGCAGCCTTAGCCATGGGAATATCTAAGAGCTTCATATGGAATGCTGGCGTGATATCTGCATTCTAATCTACCTGTTTAATGTAATATGTTGAAAGAAAACATTAGGTGCGTGGATACATCGTGTCGAAAATATATTTATATTTTGTCTTTCCTATCTCACGACCTGCCTTGTCAGGCACCATCACGTTATTGGATCTCTGGCTTTACCGTATTTCATTATTCAACCGTTATATGACATGATATTTATGTGAACTGTGAAAAGCGTTGGAAATAGTGAGTGAGTATGGTATTACGCTGCTTTTAGCAATATTCGAACATCGACCAAAGGATTCCGAAACGCCTGGCGTTTGTTTGAGTCTCCTGTAACACCTGTTCTCAGATACGTTATCGGCGATACACAACTGACTTGTTGCCATCTGGCTTTACCATACTTTATGATTCAATCGTTATATGACATGATATTTTATGTGAACTCAGTGAAAGTGGGAGAAATAGTGAGTGAGTATGGTTTTACGGCGCTTTTAGCAATATTCCAGCAACATCACGGCGGGGGACACCAGAAATCGGCTTCTCACATTGTACCCATGTGGGGAATCGAACCCGGGTCTTCGGCCTGACGCTTTAACCACTAGGCTACCCCACCGCCCCACATGGGAAATAACAAACAGTCTAAAACGTACTATTTGAAATGTTATTTTTGTGCACTGTTTCGGAATCTACGCTGCTCAGTTAAAACTTGCGAATGGTTGACTGGCTTCATAAAGGTAAGCTATGGTTGACAAAGTTGGATATGGACTGTCAATGGTTGACTAGGATTGAATGAATGGTTGACAGGTTTGAAAAGACAAGGAAATAGTTTGCTGGGATATATAAATGGGTGACTTGGTAAGATATGACACAATGGTTCGGTTGAGTAGATAAGAGCTGATGATGGTTGACTGGGCTAGATAACGGTTAACAGAAGTGCACAAGAACTGAATAGTTGGCAAGGTTTTATATGGTTTGTCACAGGTTGGGTATAATGGTTGATTCGGCTAGATAAGAACTAGAGTTGATCAGGGTTAAGCGTAGGATAAAAGACGACTCCGAGGTTTTGGTTGAGAATGTAAAACCTCAGCGGAAGGAATTTCCAGCGGATTTCCTGACACTGAAGTTTTACATTCTCAACCAAAACCGAGGGGGAGTCTTTTATCAAACTTATAAACCGTCTAAGACAACAAAAATTACATATGTATTATTTTCAATTTGTGCATGTACTGAGTAGAACAACATTGACGGAACAGCCCGCAAATGATGGAACAGCCGGTGTCAACTGGGATGCGACTGGCAGCCAACACCATGCCCCGCACGCACAATGCTCGTGCTCTGCACGCGCTACCCGTGTCCTGCACGTGCGCTGCCCGCAGTACCTGTCTTGTGAGAAACACATGGTTCATACTGACAAACAATTTCATTCCTCACAGCGATCCTTCTTGCGTAGTGGATAAAACCGTCAAGCCAGAGAGCGATGGGTTGCTGGTTCGAAACCAGTTATGGCCACTAAATATTGAAAGTTTTCAATAATGAGATGTTTAGGAGATAAACGTACTGTGTTTTGAAATTAGATGAATGTTAGACCGAATTGATAGTCTCTAAATTTCATTTGAAGCCGAACGCGTAGCGTGACATTGTAAAACCTCCTGCAATCGTAAAACCTCTACTGAGGTTATTCCATAATGCGAAGCAACTGCAAGAACAATAGACAACATTGGCCATAGGTTTATAATAAAGGTTCGCTACGTTAGTTACTGCGTGATAACGGTGGATTATGTAAGCTGAGAAAGGCAATGAGTTGGTTAGATAATAGTTGACAATGGTAAATGAGGACAAAAAGAGATACAATGGCTGACAATGTTTGCAGTAGTAAGCTAACTGATATGGGGTTGAAAATGGTTGACCATGGCAGCTGGTGGTTGAAAATGGTTGACCATGGAAGCTGGTGGTTGAAAATGGTTGACCATGGCAGCCGGTGGTTAAAAATGGTTGACCATGGCAGCTGGTGGTTAAAAATGGTTGACCATGGAAGCTGGTGGTTGAAAATGGTTGACCATGGCAGCCGGTGGTTAAAAATGGTTGACCATGGCAGCTGGTGGTTGAAAATGGTTGACCATGGAAGCTGGTGGTTGAAAATGGTTGACCATGGCAGCCGGTGGAAAATGGTTGACCATGGCAGCTGGTGGTTAAGAATGGTTGACCATGGCAGCTGGTGGTTGAAAATGGTTGACCATGGCAGCTGGTGGTTGAAGATGGTTGACCATGGCAGCCGGTGGTTGAAAATGGTTGACCATGGCAGCCGGTGGTTGAAAATGGTTGACCATGGCAGCCGGTGGTTGAAAATGGTTGACCATTGCAGCCGGTGGTTGAAAATGGTTGACCATGGCAGCCGGTGGTTGAAAATGGTTGACCATGGCAGCTGGTGGTTGAAAATGGTTGACCATGGAAGCTGGTGGTTGAAAATGGTTGACCATGGCAGCCGGTGGAAAATGGTTGACCATGGCAGCTGGTGGTTAAGAATGGTTGACCATGGCAGCTGGTGGTTGAAAATGGTTGACCATGGCAGCTGGTGGTTGAAGATGGTTGACCATGGCAGCCGGTGGTTGAAAATGGTTGACCATGGCAGCCGGTGGTTGAAAATGGTTGACCATGGCAGCCGGTGGTTGAAAATGGTTGACCATTGCAGCCGGTGGTTGAAAATGGTTGACCATGGCAGCCGGTGGTTGAAAATGGTTGACCATGGCAGCCGGTGGTTGAAAATGGTTCATAATGGTTGCATCACTAGGTGACGTACCCGTGTTACGAATTCAACTATAGTCGAACATATGGTGACATTTCTGAGGCAATACCCAGTTTGAACCACCACATCCAGTGGTTTGCTGGACTTCTCAGCGAATAATCACGGGATATAGGGGTCTGTGCGTGTTTGCGCGCGCGCGTGCGTGCATGCATGCGTGTGTGTGTTGGGGTCAGGTGGTTGAGGGGATAGGGGGTGGTTGTGGGTGTATATGTGAGCGTGTATGTGCGAGTGTGTGGGTGTGAGTTAGTTAGTATGGGTGTGAATGTCCACGCGTGTGTGTGTGAGAGTTAGTGTAGGTGTGTCTCTGTGTGTTAGTGTGTACATGTATATGAGTGTGTGCGTGGGTGTTAGTGTAAATGTGAGCGTTTTATTCTGTGTATGTATGTGAGTGTAAGTGTTTAAGTGTGTGTACGTCTGTATGTGGGTGAGTGAGTGGGTGTGCCATAATTATCCGTCAAAGCAGACTCTATCAGGCGTCAAGGGCAAGGCTGCAATGAACAGTTTGACAACCAGATGTTCAGGTAAACGGTTAGAGCGTCTTGCCCTACCGATAGCAGCCGTCACTCACACAATTTGTGTACAAAGTGACGATTGGTTTGTTATCCGGCACCACACAACAGTATCCTATCAGGAGACGGTGGCAAGTAGTGAAACCAGTCGCACCAAAGATCACGTGACACTACCTACACACATGACGTCCTGACGTAAACAGAAGGATGTGATGACATTTATATAAATACAAGAGTTGCGTACAAGTTATACCCAACATTTATTACCAAGTTAACCCAAGCTGCCTTTGAGGCGCTGGAAGGTAACAGTCATGTGACCATCTTATCCCATTCACTGCTGGTAGAACAGAGGCGATTTTGAACAAACCCCCTTGAATAAGGTGGGGCCACATGTGTCACATGTGCTTCGTTGTTGGGCAGGACTGAAGTCATATGGACTTTCACAGGTCAAGCTGCCAAACCCGGTCACCCATCCATCGACTCTCCGTGACCAATTCTGCTTAACTTCAACTGATTTGTGGCCTGGCCTCTAAGCATAAAGGGCGGTGGGGTAGCCTAGTGGTTAAAGCGTTGGCTCGTCACGCCGAAGACCCGGGTTCGATTCCCCACATGGGTACAATGTGTTTAGCCCATTTCTGGTGTCCCCCTCCGTGATATTGCTGGAATATTGCTAAAAGCGGCGTAAAACTAAACTCAGTCAGTCAGTCTAAGCATAAAACCATACACCCCTATGTTGTGGTGGCACACGCGCACACTCTCTACGCTTGGAACCTAGAATAGAAGCGACAAAACTCCTAACATTCCTAAAAGATTCCGTCTAAATCACATGCAGCATGTGTTTCTGAACAAACATCAAATTGTGATGACACCACGCGTTCGCAAAAAGGGGATCGGAACCTGCCCCTGCCCACTTGACAAAAGCATCGCAGAATTTGTGAACCGACTTCCTATATGCCGTTTACTGAGTGAGTGAGTTACGTTTTACTCCGCACTCAGCAATATTCCAGCTATATTGCGGCGGTCTGTAAATAATCGAGTCTGGACCAGACAATCCAGTGACCAACAGGATAAACATCGATCTACGCTACTGGGGGTACGATGACATGTGTCAACCAAATCAGCGAGTCTGACCACCGTTAGTCGCCTCTTACGACAAGCATGGGTCACTGAAGATCAATTCTAACCCGGATCTGCACGGGTCGTGTTCGATCCATCTTCCAGAATATCTTAGGGGTGGGACGTACTGCAATTTTGCACGGAGTCGTAAATCGTTTTTTACACGCATCTGACCACGTGTCAATGGCTACACGTATGAGAGCTTCGTGATTCCATTCTTGCTGGTTCGTTATCGAACGTTATACAAATATATGTACTGTTAATGTACGGAGCAAGATAAGAAGGCGGGCTCCTAAGACTTTGGGTCAGTCTTCACGAAGCCAGCGCCATGAACGTATTGACCATCATTGTCTCCTCCCTACTTGGGCTACACATCACTGCTGCATTCATCTGTAAGTGGCTGAATCCTCATCCTTGTCAATTGCTCTTGTTCTCCTTGGTATCTTCAGTTAAGAGCATTGCATTTTGTTCCTACAAATAGTTCTAGAAGGTCGTTGGGTTGTTTCGCAAAATATATCTGATATGAATCAAAGAATTTTAATTTTTGTTAATAAATGTAATTGCATGAGTATTTCATTAAGCATTCTTTTGAACTTGGCATTGTCTTTATATGCCATTTGACATTTAATTTTTAAGCTAATATCAAAGGAAATTATACATCCGCCCGTACTTTGATGCCTGCGTTGTATGCACATGAACATCTTTCATGTGTTAATGTCATATAGATATGAAAGATATGAGAGCTATCAAAATGGAAACTTCTTTCGATCTTCTGGATGTCGAACTGTTTACGTGGTAATTAGTAAATACGTCGAATATTTCACTTGATATCAAATAACGCACATATATTCTGATCATGATTCGATTTACTGGATAAATATATATGATATATAAATATATATATATATATATATGTGTATAATATATATATATATGTGTGTGTGTGTGTGTGTATATATAAATATATACATATACATACTTCTGACTCAAACTTGAAAGCACACGTTAATAGACTCAGATTTAGCCATTTAAGAGTTTGTCGTCATCTTCTGATATCTGTTGTTAACTTTCAGTAAAAATGTTTGAAACTGTTCCTTTTTACTTGACTTCAGTACTTCACAAGCCACTACGCATACAACATTTTTAGAAATGTGAATCTCTGAGCTACTCACTTCATAGTCTATGTGTGTAAACGTCTGGAAGTGACTTTTTCAATAAATGCTTTCGTTGCGCACATACTTTAAAATTGCAGTACTCTGAACGTTCACTAATCATAATAATCCAGACCAGCCATATCGAAAGAAATGTTAGATCAGTCTTGTGGCCGTATAGTATTATGTACATGAGAATGCTTAATGTGTTAGTTTCAGAAACATATGGCACATTTGATGGTAATAGCCCAACTAGAAACTGCTTTGGCGAACTTTTAGATGTCGACCAAAACTGACATTATATGTTCATAAATGATGTCTTCGCCACACAAACAACCGTCATACGTTAAAATTGTGCAGTTCGTTAATAGGAGTAAGGACAGTGTGTCTGTTTACTTTATCATTTCAAGTCGTCACCAGACTGGGCAACAAATGCGTTGCAACGGGGACATATTTCTTGTTGCAATTAGATTAATCGTCAGCTGTCTGATGCATATCGTAACAAACTAAGTTGGCAAAGAGTGAGTGAGTGAATTTAAGTTTACGCCGCTTTCAGCAATATTCCAGCAATATCACAGCGGGTGACTCCAGAAATGGGTTTCACACATTGTACCCATGTGGGGAATCGAACTCGGGTCTTCGGCGTGACGAGCGAACGCTTTAACCACTAGGCTACCCCACCGCCCCAAGTTGGCAAAGAGACACATGGGTTTTAAACTTGATGGCCAGTTCACATGGCAAAAGAAAAATCTCTTCAGTTGAATGAGTGAGTGGATTTTGTTTTACGCCGCTTTTAGCAATATTCCAGCAATATCACGGCGGAGGACACAGGAAATAGGCTTCTCACATTGTACCCATGTGGGGAATCGAACCCGGATCTTCGGAGTGACGAGGGAATGCTTGAACCACTAGACTACCTCTCCGCCCCTTAAAGCTGTGACCTTGCTATACGGTTAGCTGTCTATCTCCCACCGATGTCTGGACACACACCCTTTGTGGAACAGATTATATTTTAAATAAGAAACATTTTATTCCACAAGAGGGAAATGTGAAAATAACAACCATGTGCTGTCACAAGCAATATTGCTACATAATTACAATACTATTATTATTAACCATTATTGTATTTTTAAAATTTCAAAAGTCATCGCATTATGACTAGTCGCCGCAGTCGAAAGGAGGGATCTCAAATCTGGTTTCTTTCACCCGCCCACGTAGGTTGTATATCAGAAACAACCAAACTACTATAAATTTAAGTCCCTGTTATCAACAAATAATGAAACACTTTTAAGAAATTTATGTAAATATATCTTTCATGTTTATAAAATCAGAGCAATCAAACTCCAATAAATTTTCTTTAAACCACACATCTTTCCATTTTAAATGTTTATAAAGGTGTGTATATATGTTTATAGTAAATATTATATTTATACTGACAAGAAATCTATTTGAACAAATAACACGTGTATTATTGATATGTATGCCCTTTAAAGTGTATCTAAATTTGTAAACAAATGTATGTATGTTGTATATTGGCCTGTGGCCTACATACGGAATAAAAATACTTGACTTGACTTGACTAGATATCTACCTAAGCTATTGATAAATCGAAAGAAAAATGGAATTTTAACAGATATAATTTTTCACCCTACCGACCTTGACTTGATAAAAATTATTAAACGGAACAAATCTTGCTCTGGTGCAAAATGTTCAGCATAAAATGATTATATCCGAGAAAGGAAAACTTTGTTTTGAACGGCTTTGTTTGCAAGGCCTATCCTTTGTTTCGGACAAGGTCTCTCGTTGGGATCATAATCTGTCACTTCGTGGTACAGGTGAGAAAAGAAACTTCGTCATGAGCACCTTATCTGATCACAGGCCATCAAGTCCAACAATCAGAGGTGCGGTCAACTTCTTTGGCCTAAAAAAACTAGGTGGACATGCCGACTTGAGATAGCACCTCTGGTGATCTCGCTTTGAGACATGGCAGAAATTGGTTCTGCCGTACTGATGCTTGTAGAACAACTGGTGTTATGTTCACATCACCTGATTTATTCAGCAATGGCTTGGACAATTTGTTTCCACCTGTTTGTTGTTTAATATTGAACAAACTTTATGGACAACAACTTCTGTAATTACGTGAATTCGACGTTTCGATCCAGATTCTTGTATCATTGTCACGAAATAAAGTTTGTGCAATATCGTATCACCCAACTTCTAAAATGCCTCTCAAAGACGTTTGTTGTTTAATTCGTTATGAAAACACGACGTGTTCCATCACAAGCATATGTATTTGTGTTAGAATTGTTAGAACTTTTCGGTTCCAAATTCAATTTAAATCTACATGTACTTATCGTACAACTGAATACACACTGTCTACATCTCCTAATATATAGCCTGGTACCCCTCTCAATTGCACTTCAGGATACGGGAATCTTTTTATGCGGGGAGTAAGAGCAGGAGCAATATTACCAGGGGTATAATTACATATGACACTCTGACAGTACAACCAACATCTAATTTGGTCATGGATGTGGGTTGGTTCTGAAAATATGAAAGTCTTTGTGAATATTTAAGAGATACGTGTGTGTTATTAATGATTGTATACCCCTTTTATAAATTTGATATCACACCTATGGCCTTATCTTGTTGGTTATTAATGTTAGTGAGTGAGTGAGTTTAGTTTTACGCCGCACTTAGCAATATTCCATCTATATGGCGGCAGTCTGTAAATACTCGAGTCTAGACCAGTCAATCCAGTGATCAACAGCATGAGCATTGATCTGCGCAATTGGGAACCGATGACATATATCAACCAAGTCAGCGACCACCCGATCCCGTTAGTCGCCTCTTACAACAAGCATGGGTTACTGAAGAACAATATTCTAACCCGGATCTTCACGGGTAGTTATTAATATTAAAATATCATGGTTTACGTTAATCGACATTGTCAAATATTAAATTGTACATAGGATGCTGTCAGCATAATTCCTCTGCCAGAGGTCAGGGAGATGGAATGATTCGTCACATCGTGCGCAGCCCATTCAATATATTGTACATATGTTTTAACGCTTTTATTTTTGACGAATCTACACATCTAGTTAAACATCTTTGATAGAATGGTTAAAACTTTACTTTCACTGAGAAATTATCCTAAAACGTGTGACACTATTTCGAGTTGCGTAGCAATCCTTTGTTTACATAGGTTGTGGGGTTCCACGTGCTGTCGTCGACTGACTGACTGACTGAGTTTGGTTTTACGCCGCTTTTAGCAATTTTCCAGCAATATCACGGCGGGGAACACCAGAAATGGATTCACAAATTGTACCCATGTGGGGATTCGAACCCGGGTCTTCGGCGTGACGAGCCAACGCTTTAACCACTAGACTATCCCACCGCCCCTGCTGTCGTCGAAGCTCAATGGAGCGCAAGCGTCGCATCATCTTTGATGTATAAATTTGTATTGTCATAAACCTCACTGTCGCAGTTGTCGAAAAAAATCCATATGACAGCGTAAACATTAAGAAGAGCGCACCGAAAAGCTTCCGTTAGCCCAGTCATTTCTAATTTACAAATATGCGCGTTTGGTTACAAACAAGAGAAAAGTCCGGTCACGTGATATGCAAATTAGCCCGTGGGAGTGATGTTGTGCTAAGTCATCACTGCGCTGGAGTGTGATTAAATTGGTCATCAAATTTCGGTAGACCTGCTTCCCGTTGTGAGCTCTTACAATTGTGACACAAAGAACGACGTCATTGTACACTGGGTGACGTCACATGCTGCAAGAAATACTTTATCAATGTACACAGCAATCGTGCGGTGACACGTGAACTAAATCAGTTGCGTAGATCGATGTTCATGCTGATCCCTGGTCTGATCGAGACTTGATTATACACAGACCGCCGCCATGTAGCTGGAATATTACTGAGTGCGACGTAAAACCAAACTCACTCACTTACTCGTAACGAGTGATGTTTTTGGGGGTAATGTAAATAATAGTAAAAATAACCTATCAACAACAGGAATCGCTGTACCAAAATCAGCCTCGGCTGGATATAAAGGTTGAACGAGTGACAGGCTAAATTCGATGGAATATGGGAATATGCCACTTTATGTCCAAAACCTGAAGTGGATTATTCCGACTGTTCTGTACGATTCCACACAAACCTTGGCCCGAAAGGGTTTCATAATACATTAACTTCCACACCACTATCCTCTATTGAATCGTAACACAGACAATAATAACAAATTTTGAAATTTACCTCTAAACTGAATAAAGAAATTTATTTTGTTTTACTTTAGATAATCGTTTCATGCATTGTCTCTGTTTTCTGTGGCAGTGTCGGACGACAGCTGTTCAGGTCGTTGTTACGCTCAACTGGACAAGGCAAGTGGATGCCAGTGTAACTACATCTGTCACAAGTACGGCGACTGCTGCCTCGACTTCGACTACTCTTGTAGACACAAAGGTGAGGTGGGTGAGGTGAAATTAGGTTTATCGTCGTGCTTGAGAATATTTCGCTCATATGACAACGTGCATGCGTGTGTATGTGTGTGTGCGGCTGCTTGTACTAGCCCAGACTGAAGCTGGTTTTATAGTGCTAGCCCACTGAGATACCATGCCGCAGTGAAGCATGAATACCCCACTCAGACACAGTATACTGACTCCCAGCCGACCAGTCCTTGTTGTACCCATTAATGCCGAGCGCCAGGCAAGGACCAACAAGTACCATATTTTAACGTGTTTTGGTATGACGCGGTCGGGGATCGAACCCGCGACCTTCCGCTCTCCGGGCGGACGCTATAACCACTACACCACGGAGGCGGTGTAGACACAAAGGTAACATCGGTGGGTTAGCACATGGGCAAAGTTTGGACTTACACGGGTAAGGCCAACAGAGAGACACATGGGTTATCGCGAGAGGTAGACAGGTCAAGGGAGACACATAGATACGACAGACGGGTAGACACAATGGCAAGGCCGTGGGGAAGACACATAATTTAGATCGGGGGATAAACACATGGGTATTCTCTAAAAGGGGAATGTTGCTTTTCACAGATCTTCAGACAATGTTCAATTTTTAAAGACGCACTATTTTCTCATGATGATCACATTGACAATGGAAACCGGGTAAAAATTGAAGAAATAAATTATTATATCTGGACTAAGGATCTTCAGATTGTCGTCTTTATTGTGTGCATATATATAACACCATACATATATGCGAAATGTACCGTTTGTTATGCATGTAAAGAGAACTATGAACTCCAATTTCATTTCAACGTTGCATTCCCGTTATGAATGAAGACAAGTACCCACGCCGTGATATGTCTGGGATATTTTTTAAAAGGCGGTATAAAACAACATTCAGACGCTCTTCTGTTGCTGTGATACATTCATCCGTGCACTAAGTCAGGTTGGATCCACTGTCCGGGACCCGTGAAGATACGGGTTAGAACTGATCTTCATTAACCCGTGCTTGTCGTAACAGGCGACTAACGGGATCGGATGGTCAGGCACGCTGACTTGGTTGACACATGTCATTGTATCCCAATTGCGTAGATCGATGCTCATGTTGTTGATCACTGGATTGTCTGGTCCAGACTAGATTATTTACAGACCGCCGGCATATAGCTGGAATAATGCTGAGTGCGGCGTAAAACTAAACTCACTCACTCACGGTTCGGGATATTGTGAAATACCACATGAAACCATACTCAGACACGCTTTGGCTTCTATGATTGGACCGACTGTCTTGGATAACGTTAAACGCGACATAAAACAATATTCATCCACTCTTCCGTTGCTATGATACAGGCACCCCCTGTTCCAAGTCACACAGGGGCACCTGCAGTAACAACCCACACGCCGGGACAGAACACCCCAGGACCCAACACCCCTGGACCCCACACTCCGGTGACGAAGAACAACATTGCTGACGTGCTCTGGCAGGTTGACCCTGATAAGTTTGACATGGCGGACATCACCATCAACCTTGGAGGTCACGCAGCAAGTGGGAAGTCAACCGATGTCTCCAAGGATAAGTAGGTGGACATTATACATGCTGTATTGTTTGAACATACTTCAACCTTGGTATACAGAACTGTGAGAGATTCTTAAAATCAGCTATTTTGACGCAAAACCGTTTTACGAAATGTTTACTAAGAACGTATATTAAGATTTGTTTTGCTAAATCGCCATGGCCGACGGTTTCGTCTGTTTATGCATAGTGAGTTAGTGAGTTTAGTTTTACGCCGCACTCAGCAATATTCCAGCTATGTGGCGGCGGTCTGTTAATAATCGAGTCTGGACCAGACAGTCCAGTGATCAACAACATGAGCATCGATCAGCGCAACTGCATGGGAACCGATGACATGTGTCAACCAGGTCAGCGAGCCTGACCACCCGATCCCGTTAGTCGCCTCTTACGACAAGCATGGGTTACTGAAGATCATTATTCTAACCTTGACCTTCACGGGTATGTTTATGCATAGAGCCACACACAGACTCTAAGTTTAGTGAGCGTTTTACGGCGCAACATTTCTATGATATCATGACAGGGGATACAAGAAATGGTTTAGGCACATTGTACCCATATAGGGAACCGAACCCGGACCTTCGGCATGACGGTCGAACACTTTAACCACTAGGCTACTTCATCTTTCCCGCCCAGTTTGGAAACAACCATCCGTTCCATCAATTAACTGTTATCAACGCTACGAATGTGGCGGTCTTGATGGTGTGTGACCAAAACACAATACAAAAAACAATCCCGATACACCAAGCCTTTGACCTACATTCTTAGCCGTGGCCTGTATTTCTGTGACCAGAGATTAAAAAACATGATGACCATAAAAGGATGGACACAATACGGATTATGTCGTGGAATTCGACAGGTCACACTGACCGCTTTTGTACGTTGGCGATAGTTGACGCCATATTGACTAAAACGTACTTCTTCGATATATTGAGCGCAAAAGCGAAAATAGCTTTAAGTGTCAGTACCGAAATGCTAAGGCATGGATTCGTTGCTTCAAAGAGGTCTCAATCTTTCAAATCAAACGACATCACGTCACGTAACTAAAACGATTTGTACATAGTTGGAAAATACTAATTTTATTGAAAAAAACGGTGATTGGAATTTGTGGACAAATACTCGCTCGGTTAAAAAAGGGGGTTTAAATTGCTGGTTGAGTCACTCAAACCTATACGTAATAGCCTCTCCTTCGAACAACCTAGGTTCAGTGTGTGTGTCTACGTCCAGGGTACGTTGCGGTTGGCGTAACACCATGACACCGTGACAGCAAAACGTCCGTTCCACTGTCCCGACGAATTCCAGTAGAGCAATTATCAATTGTTCCCCATAATTAGCATAGTTTGCTCTCGCGGTCTGTATCCTAGACATAAGCTCTGTTTATTGCTTAACGCCGCAGTGTTTAAGCTGATTGACGGCGGTCTGTAAATGATCGGGGATAGACCACACAATCCAGTGACTGACAGCATGAGCATGTAAACCATGACTCTCAATCAACCAAATTTACAAACGGGTCCACCAGATCCTCCTTTGAGCCTGCCTCTTACGAACACTGAAATCAATTCAGGCGACTAACCCCCTTGTAATACAAACCAATAATAGCGGTTTGAAACCATGATCGTTTGTTAAACAACTTTTATCCTAAGTTGAATAAAATTCTGAGATTTAAATGCTCAATTGGCAAGGTAAAATTATGAGGATTCGCAATCTTATTTTCACTTTATTCGATTTACGTTTCTGTTTAAAGTGAAATTCATCGGTACGTTTTCACTGCAAACAGACTATAACTTTTGAAGAATTCCTTCCAAGAAAGTAGTCCGTCACAATCTGACCTTAGGTCACCGCCATGTAGCAATCACAGACTACTGTAACTCGATCTCACACAACCAGACATCTGAGATGGGTTTCTCACTCGCGCTTCTGTGAGAAATAGCGTTGCCAACATCGACGCCAAATAAGATTCATCTACGTCGTTCATAGAAGTTCTTTAATCTGTTGCAGTTTGTTCAGCCATGTGAATACTGCGAAATTAAGCAGACCTATATACAAGGCACTCATGGAACTCTGGGACAACTACATCCCAACTAGGGGCGCCTCGGACCTCGTGTCCATTGCGGACAAAGCTGAAATCAACAACTTCCTTGACCTTGCTATGGCTTCACCCGTCATGGAGACAGCATACAACTACCTCGTCGACCAGCGTACGTACTGATTGCATGTAGATGACGTTGCGTTGTTAGCGTTACGTTTAACGCCAGTTCCGCACCGCTAAGGCTGATTGACGTATTAGAGATTAACCATTTGATATAACCCACATATGAAATAGTTGGAGATCACAATACATATTTTGGTAGAATGTCCAGTACATCAATGGCTGATTTTCGTTACATCAAACACAGTGAGACTGAATTGAATTTTAACGTGACATCGATATTATTTCAGCTATATAGCGACGAGTCTCATTTAAATTATAAATTCATAAAGTATTTAACATTAAAAATAATTAGAACAATAAACCGATGTGGGACAATAGTTCTGGCACCATCCAACTACTTCAAATATATTGTCAACCATTTTATATATTCTGATCTATTTGGTTTAAACATATTTATTTCCAAAAGAGGAACCGGATTGGTAAACAAGCAGTATGGTGCTTATATGAATACCGCTCCGGAATACAGATATATTATAGATATAATAATCGTGCGGAGAAAAACATGATATTAACAAACGATAAACAATAGCTTTCTGGAAATGTAACAATCATAAACTGTAACATGGCCGCTTTTAACGTTAATCTATATCAGATATCTACAGCGGAAGTAAGACAGCCTTCAGAGACAAGATCTTCTCTCTCTGGTTTGAACCCTACTCCAGGTCCGGTGGGTCGTCCAAGGACAGCAGTGGGTTCGAACACGTGTTTGTCGGCGAGTACAAGTCGTCCATAGTGGAGGGTTTCCACAGTTGGCTGCGCTTCTACACAGAGGAACAAGCTGGACGTGCCAACTACCTTGGATACCTCAAGAATGTCGGGGTAGGTGTATAACTCAGCACGGGACAATGGGGTGGCATATTGGTTAAAGCGTTCGCTCGTCACTCCGGGTTTGATTCCCCACATGGGTACAATTTCTGGTTGCCCCTCCCTGAAATTGCAGGAATATTGTTATCAGCGGCGTAAAACTATACCCACTCAATCTTCTGAAGGACGTGCATTGAACATATTCTTGAAGGATGACTCTTGCAATGGATGACATCCTGAATCTTCATACTTTACGATGCACTGAATTTCCTGTAAGTTTTCTTGAGGACAGTTTCACACTAGCTTACGCATAAATAACCGAGTCTGGACCAGACAATCCAGTGCTCAACAGCATGTGCATCGATCTCCGCAATTGGGACACAATGACATGTGCCAACCAAATCAGCGAGCCTGACTACCCGACCAGTCGCCTCTTACGACAAGCATGGGTTCCTGAAGACCAATTCTAACCCGGATCTTGAAGGGTATCAGGTTTTTGTGGATCGATGCTCATGGCGTTAATCACTGGATATGCTGGGCCTACTTTCACAAAACACTAAGGTGATCGTAAGCCACTAAGGTAACCTTAGTGCAATGTTAAAGAACGGGAGTTAAGGTTAAGCTTAGTAAAGGTTGCTTCGTGAAAGGAGCCCCTGGTCCAGACTCGATTATCTACATGTAGGTGACACATGGCTGAGAGCGGTGTTAAAAATACCCAACAAAATGCAAGCAAACGTGCAAAGAACCAATAGCGAATATACCTTTTGTTGGTTCCTGCTTCAGCCACAGATGGTCGAGTTCTCCTTCACCTGGAACGGTCACTTCAAGAAGATTGACTCATTCATAGTCGGGTCCAGTCCAGTGTTCGACATGGCCCTGGCCACAATCTGTATACTGACTAGGCCAAGCTCGTCTTGTCCCTTCACCCTCAACGGCCACAACTTCAGCATCAAGCAGTACGACGAGGCCCACACGTCCGGAGTACAAGTAGCCACCGCCTACACTGTCTTCTAAACACACGATGACCACTCGCCTTAATGCAACGTTAATGATTGATTGAATGAATGAATGAATGAGTATTATTTGTCGCCGCCGTTATGCTCCAGTGTGCATTGACAATTCATTGAGTGGTGTGTATATTCAATTCATTTCGTTATTCCAGCAGTGTAAGCCATCGGTCCTTAACTACATAGGTTAGATTGTACATGGAAAATAATGGTTTGTGCAGTTCAAATTGATAATTTTAACATCTTAGAAACATTGCATGATAAATTAAGCTGGCTAAATTATTAATAAGTTTACAATCTGATGATGACATGAGGAATTTAAATTCAGCTTCTGGTATAATAGGTTTAAGGTAAATGGTTCAAGCGGAGCTGTTTGAATTTGGAACACACGAGGAGAAAATGGTATTCATCCTCAAAATAACCTTCTTCGCATTGTAAACATATTCTATCATTTCTATCTATATTATAATTCCTTCCAGTTTCAATACGTAACTGATGTGGAAAACATCTAAACTAAGTGAGGTGCTTCTCTAAACTTCTTAATGTTAAATACAATTCCCTGGAAGCGATATTTTGAAGTAAGAATACGACATAGATTTGCTGTCATTTTGAAGTGAACTATAAGAAATTCTGTTCATGAATACATTTAATTCAGATAAAAATGAGGCAGGAACATAACAAATTCCTGTTGCCCAAACAAAATCCATACCCAAAATATTATAATTATTATTATATTATTACTGGGATAATCGTTGCACTGATTGGAACCTCTTGAATCCAGAGGTGAAGCCAATTTCTGTTGCCCATCGCCGTGGTATTACTGGAGTATTGCTAAAAGCGACGTAAAACTAAACTCACTCACTCACTCATTCAAATTTGTATATATACTAGTGTTTGTACTTGTTAGTTTGTTAGTCCGAGCATTGATGTCTTTCTGAATAAATTATTCCTGTGTTTGTTATAAACTGTTATATTTTTGCAGCTGTTGGTTGGAGAAGAATTAGGAAGTTTAACGGTCATTGGCAACTGGACACATCACATGATTTGTTGGATACCTATTTTAAGCTGGATGTAGCGTCACCGCAGCAAACACAGTGAACCAGGCCGTTCAGCAGGTCCCATACCAAGTCACAGTTGTCTCATGAACAGTTCACTCCAACTGGATGTTGGACCATCTCAAGGGAGCCGGGTAGCCTTGTGGTTAACGCTTTCGCTCGTCACGCTGAAGACCCAGGTTCGATTCCCCACATGGGTACAATGTGTGAAGCTCATTTCTGGTGTCCCCCGCCCTGATATTGCTGGAATATTGCTAAACGCGGCGTAAAACCATACTCACTCACTGTTCACTCAGCAACTCATGCTTGGATCGGGTGATCAGGCTCTCTGACATGGTTAAAGCACGTCATCGTATCCAAATTGTGTAGACCGTTGTTCATGAAGTCAACCACTGGATTATCTGGTCCAGGGCCCTGTTCCTCAAAGCTATCGTAGCGCTACGACAGTCGTAGGTCTATGTTAAAGTGTCGGAGTTACGATCATCTTAGCGCTACGATCGCTTTGAAGAACGAGCTCCAGATCCGATTACTTACAGACCGCCGTCGTTGGAATTGAGTAACGGCGTCACAATTTCTCATACTGCCATTCATGATGGCTCTTCAGTAGATGAGTAACACAACACTATTCCCAAGAATGAGACACAACGTCTACAGTAGTATTAAAGTTTGCCCCTTTTCCTGTGTGCCATGACGCGTGTGTAATATAATGTATATTATAATTGTATGCTCCCCAGGGAGTTGAGATTGACAATACGATGTGCCGTTGAGATTGACATCCAGTGAACGAGGGAAAACAAAGCGCCTTTGAGCAGCTGAGCTGGATATCGGCGCTATACAAATGTTAGTATGTATGTATGTATGTGTGTGTGTGTGTGTGTGTGTGTGTGTGTGTGTGTGTGTGTGTGTGTGTGTGTGTGTGTGTGTGTGTGTGTGTGTGTGTGTGTGTGTGTGTGTGTGTGTGTGTGTGTGTGTGTGTGTGTGTGTGTGTGTGTGTGTGTGTATGTATGTATGTATGTATGTATGTATGTATGTATGTATGTTTGGGTCTGAATATAACAACATGACAGTCATTCTGTACTTGATCAAGATAACAACTACTGCCAAGAGATAAGAAACCAGCAGTAACTCATATTTACGAAACAGCTGTACGGGTTATTTTGAGTGATTTCACGAATGAAGGGCTGTACAAACTTGCTTCTTAGTGTTCTGTTACTGAAGGTCGCAGAAACATTCTTACGTAAGTATAACGTTAACGTTAACGCAAATAACAAACACGTCGTTCGTACAATTTATTGTTACGTGAATGGTAGTGGGATGTAATCGCTGACCTGTTGTAATAACACCAGGCGTCGTTGTAACTTGTAATAACACCAGGCGTCGTTGTAAATTGTAATAACACCAGGCGTCGTTGTAAATTGTAATAACACCAGGCGTCGTTGTAAATTGTAATAACATCAGGCGTTGTTGTAAATTGTAATAACACCAGACGTCGTTGTAAATTGTAATAACACCAGGCGTCGTTTTAAATTGTAATAACGCCAGGCGTCGTTGTAAATTGTAATAACACCAGGCATCGTTGTAAATTGTAATGACACCAGGCGTCGTTGCAATTGTAATAACATCAGGCGTCGTTGTAAATTGTAATAACACCAGGCGTCGTTGTAAATTGTAATAACACCAGGCGTCGTTGTACATTGTTATAACATCAGGCGTCGTTGTAAATTGTAATAACACCAGGCGTCGTTGTACATTGTTATAACATCAGGCGTCGTTGTAAATTGTAATAACACCAGGCGTCGTTGTAAATTGTAATAACACCAGACGTCGTTGAAAATTGTAATAACACCAGGCGTCGTTGTAAATTGTAAATAAAACCAGGCGTCGTTGTAAATTGTAATGACAGGGCAATGAAGGAGTACCCACAAGGAATATATGCTGACAATACAGCAGCAACTGGGTACCCGTTATCAATGTAACAGCAGTTAGTGGGTACATGGTGGGATGAAATGGTTTTGATACCACAATGAACATCTAATATGGGGATAAAATAATCCTGAGCTGGTTGACCACGTGTCATAGGTACAGCGCAGGACACATTAACACAGGCTCGTCACTCACATGCTAGACTCACCACGGCCAGACAATAGCTACAGACAAACTAGGATTTTGTAGGATTTCAGCCACGACAGAGGCACCGTCTCGCCCAAGCTTTCGCCCGAGACATTCGTTCAAGACATTATTCTGACTGATCAGCATCGACGTCCCGATACCGTTACTCGCCTCTTACGACAAGCATGGGTTACTGAAGATCGACTCGTGAAGATACGGGTTAGAATTGATCTTCAGTAACCCATGCTTGTCGATAGAGGCGACTAACGGGATTGGTTGGTCAGGCTCGCTGACTTGGTCATGTCATCGTATCCCAATTGCGTAGATGGATGCTCATGATGTTGATCACTGGATTGTCTGGTCCAGGCTCGATTATTTACGGTGACCGGACAAAATCCACCCGGACAAAATCCACCCCAAAATTGCCACCCCGGACAAAATCCACCTCTTCTTAACAAAAAGATGGACAAAATCCACCCTTCTCATTATTTACAGACCGCCGCCAAATAGCTAGAATATAGAGTTCGGCGTAAGACTAAATTCACTCACTCACTCTTTGAAGATCAATTATCACCCGGATCCTCACAGGTCGTGTGGTACAGGTTATTCTACACCAAATCAGATAGCATAGTTTAACAAACACTTTTCGCAGCCTTCAGAGGAGGCTGAATCATCTGACGGCTGTGATTGGATGATTTTGTGTAAGATTTGTGTTTTTAAATGCACATCCATCCAGTAATTAAAATTGAGTATATTTTTCAATACTTAGTACTGTCTTATTTAATTTATATTGAATGTGTGCAGAGATACCTTCAAGTAGGTCACATTTTGTACGGAACTGCGGTTGCATTTTCCACTTCCTGTACTATGAAAAGGAAGTGGTTAACCAAGCCCGAATTTGTGTTTTTATAGTGGCTTCAAGACAATACTGTGCATATATATATATATATACATTTAATGCTATTATTATAATGACCTAGATATTTTTAAGACAATATAATTGTACTGTGGAAGTCTATGGAAAGCATTTGGTTTTGTGAAACCTGTTCTGATTTGTACACTGAGAGATTTTACGTTGCTTCTTTGGACCCAAGGCGAGTAACTCCAAAACTTTGAGCCAAGTGGGTAATGGGCGCAGATAGGCATCTTATTGGCCAACGTGGCCCTAAAACTATAAAACCAGCCAAGTGGGGTGATAGGTGTTACATCTGTCGGTAATAATCAGCGTTCGAAATTAACGTCGGTCCTTAGGCCCGAAGTCGACTGAAAACCACTCTGACCCACAGCTTTTGTTTTCTACAGGTCTTTATGGCCGACATCTTTTTCATCCCCAATAAGTAGGAGTATTATTTCCATATTAAAATATATGGCCTACACATTCTGATCAGAACCCACAACTTTTTATGGTTCTGGGTCCGTAGGGCCGGTAGCTTTTCATGGCTAAGGGCAAACACTGTATATAATAATGTTGTAGGCAGAGGTAAAAGTTGAAGCCAACATCATCATTGATCTGTGACAGATTTATGCTTCCGGGGGGAACCGTTTCATTGTTAATTACGCCGTAAGTGATACATCTATCATTGTGGTAGCTAGGGCTGCGCAATATAACCGGTTTACCGGTATTTACCGGTTCAGACATGAAAACGTACGTTTTGCGATACGCTGATCGAAAACCGGTATTTTGACATGCATTCGGAAAACTTCGTAACACTCGGAAATCTCTTGTAATGTTAATTCATGTATCAGAGGTGAGGTGAGGTGAGGTGAGGTGAAATTGGGTTTAACGTCGCGCTGGAGAATATTTCGCTCATATGACGACGTGCATGCGTGTGTATGTGTATGTGCGGCTGCTTGTACTAGCCCAGATTGAAGCTGGTTTATAGCGCTAGCCCACTGAGATACCATGCCGCAGTGAAGCATGAGTACCCCACTCAGACACATTATACTGACTCCGAGTCGACCAGTCCTTGTTGTACCCATTCATGCCGAGCGCCAGGCAGGGACCAACAAGTACCATATTTTAACGTCTTGGTATGACGCGGTCGGGGATCGAACCCGCAACCTTCCGCTCTCCGGGCGGACGCTCTAACCACTACACCACGGAGGCGGTCTCATGTATCAGAACCAAGGATAGTTTAGTATGAACATACCCGTCTTCTGATGATAAAAATCTGATATGTGCTTCAGTAGTCGTGTTGGACAAACTCTTCTGTTCAATATAGTTTATCGTCAAATCGTTTTCAACATTACATGTAAACATATATACTGAGTCCAAAAAGAAACTTCACAAATGTAATTTGAAAAATAATGAATAATTTTTCTTTGATGATACATCTATGTATCCAAAATGGGATCCCTATCTGTCGACTCTAGAAAAACGTTAGCAAAACCCACTCAAACCCATCCATTCGTCGTGCAAATGATGTTGGTGCCAAATCAGGTTTTGCACGTGCAGTCGATCACGTGATCTTCGCAACGAAGTTTTCTTCACATGCACGTGTTTGCATTGGCCTCAAGAATTGAAAAAACACTTTTAAACCACAGTTCTAACGGTACTTGAAATGCCACGATTGTCAAATGTTGGCATGTTGCAAGCGGGAAGATCAGTTATTGACGTCGCAAGAGCAATGGGATGCAGCCGTCGTACTGTGTATGACTTGCGAGGTCGTCTACAACAAACTGGCACCACTTCTGATCGCCCAAGGTCGGGTCGTCCACGTGTGACGTCACGAGCAGAAGACCGTCAAATCGTCCTACGTCATCTACGTGACAGATTTCTGCCGGCTACATGAACCAGGGCTGAGATGTTTAGAGGTCGACTGTCCTCACAGACCATTCGAAATCGGTTGCGGGCTGCCAATCTCCATTCTCGACGTCCATATCGTGGGCCAATATTGACGCCGTTTCATCAACGTCAACGTCTGCTGTGGGTCCAACGTCACCTCCGATGGCCCCAGAGAGACTGGAATCGAGTCGTCTTTAGCGATGAATCCAGGTTTACCCTCAGATTCGCGGACGGCAGGCATAGAGTCTGGAGACGACGTCGTGAACGGTATGCCCAATGTTGTGTACAGGAAGTCGACAGATTCGGGGGCTGAAGTTGCATGGTGTGGGGTGCTTTCTGTGGGAACAACCGTTCCAGACTTCTGGTCATCCGTGGAAACCTCACAGCTGCTGCTTACCGCGACCAGGTGCTCATCCCTGAACTCGTTCCTTTCATGGCGGCTCATGGCACAGGTCTACAGTTCCAGCATGATAATGCTCGGCCGCATACCGCGATGTTGACACGAAATTTCCTTCAAAACGCTGGAATCAACGTCATGGTCTGGCCATCGAGGTCCCCTGACCTTAATCTAATAGAGCACGTTTTGGATGCACTTGGGTGAAGGCTTCGTGGTCTTAGGAACCAACCTCAGAATTTGCAGGAACTTGGCGCTGCCTTACAAAAGCAATGGCGCGGAATCCCGAGCCACGTGTTCACAAGCATCAGGCAATCGAAGAGGAGACGGCGTTTGGCAGTGGTGAATGCGCGGGGCGGCCATACACGATATTGAACTGAGAAATTTCGCATTTTTATTCTTGTGACTTGACATTCTGTATACCCATGTTTTGGAACGGCGGTGTAGCCTAATGGAACTGATTATGGCACTGTCAGTGTATCGAGTATATCACACAGATCTCAGCAATAAAATAATAACAATTTTACCATCTTACAATCTCTTGTTCTTTTATAGTGCCCTGAAGAAAGAATGTGAAGTTTCTTTTATGACTCAGTATATATGATATTCGTCCTCGATATTTGACATACAAACATAGCAAACTTTTAAATGTTCGTCAATTAGGATTAGTCATTGTATCTGTCAAACCAAGTCTATATCGTATCACTACTACTGTATGTTTTTCTTGCAATGTTTGTTCAATATATCTGTGGCGCTATTATTGTTTAAACGTTAGTGAGTTTAGTTTTACGCCCCACTCAGCATTATTCCAGCTATATGGCGGCGGTCTGTAAATGTGTGGACCAGACAATCCAGTGATCAACAGCATGAGCATCGATCTACGCAATTGGGATACCTTGACATGTGTCAACCAAGTCAGCGAGCCTGACAACTCGATTATTGTTTTAAAGGATCTATATGCATCAAATCTAGAATTTATTAAGTGCATTAATCCCATTCTCTAAAAAACAATAAATCAATTCTTTGATGGAAATTTGTTCATGTAAATACATTTATTTCCAATAGAAAAGTGTGTACTAACATGCCTTGACCTTTTGTTCTCATGTGACGATATGTGTATGGATCCGTACAATGTCATACCTGAATTAACTTTACTTTAAGTTGTACCCCATCTCAGGTCGCGAAGCCATATACAGGATGACATTTCATTTTTTGATTCCTAGTACGAACAAAATCGATAAGTATCTTAACATCATTTTTGTTTCTCTGCTCAGTGACAGAGTCATGTCAGAAGCGATGCCTCCAGCCGTACACTCCGTCTCTTTCCTGCCAGTGCAACGTCGACTGCAGCAAGCACGGCAACTGTTGCCCCGACTACCACCAGGCATGTGACGGTAGGTAGGTGTTGGGGTCAGGAGACACTGACATCGCATCTAACTGTATTCCATGTATTTGCGGGGTGTCAGCACAATACGGGAGGGTAGTGAAACCCGTGAGCATAATGGTGGTGCCAAGAAACCTAGAACCAAATCGGGGCTGACGATCATAGATTTTTGTCGTGTCCTAAGGATGCAACTTTTCACAGCGCGTTGCCACACCTTGGGCGACTGGTCCACACGTCTTCTGTCAGGGTGGTTGGTTGGCTGGTTGTTTTACGCCGTACTCAGCAATATCCCAGCTATATGGCAGCGGTCTGTAAATAATCGAGTCTGGACCAGACAATCCAGTTATCAACAGCGTGAACATCCATCTACGCAACAGCGGTACGATGTCGTGGGTCAACCAAGTCCCGTGACCTCCCGAACCTGTTAGTCGCTTGTTACAAGCATGGGTTGCTTGTAGACCAATTCTAATCCGGATCTTCACGTGTATTGTATTATCAGGAGATCAGCAGATCATTACCGAACCGTATCAATAGTATCGATATCGTATAAAAACATCTTCGAACCTCAAGTTTAGGGGTACGAGTTTTAATTGCACGAAAGTTTCTACAATTCCTACATCAACTCACCTGATGTTTCAGTGTTATATATTGTATTTACACCAACATCCAAACCCAGAGAATATAATTCAGGAATGGGAATATCCTTGTTGCTTGTTGGATCTGGTCGTGGGATCTGCATACAGAAAATAAGTGTCCTTGTCTATCTAAGTAACTCATCTAGCCAAACCCAAAGGCGGGTAGATCTGAACACGCCACAATGGAATATAGATCTTTCTCGATAAAACTGTGCTTAGAATGAAAGCTTGAGGGCATACCGTGGCCATTAAACATTTTTTACTAGAATTCATTCGTTCATGTTTTCATTGTTAACACCATAATGATCACCATCACTGTTTCTATGCAGGTGGAGACAAGTCATGTGTCAAACGGTGTCAGTCGAACTACGACCCCAGCGCTAAGTGCCAGTGTAACGCCGCTTGCTCTAGCTACTCTAACTGCTGCAGCGACTTCTCGACGGTGTGCGGAGGTTTGAGACCAAGTGATACACTCTTATAAAGCTTAATAATAAGGAATTTTTTCTCGACCATTGGAGCGTGACCTTAAACCCCCTAAACTCTCCCCGTCAGTCTTCTAATGCGGAAATTACATGAGTGAAACACTGCAGGCTTATCTTTAAGAAACAACTCAAGGCTGAGTTCGAAAATTTGTGTCATGACTTATCTTCGTCCGGAGTTATGTAGCCTTTATGAAGCCTTATCAAGAACTGGAAAAAGATTAACCGTTTTAGAGTGATAAGGAAAATGTATCTGAAATTACGTTTATCCCTTCGTGTAAGTTTCTAAGACCGACATTGAACGTCTAAGACCTGTTTCTAGGGCCGACATTAAACGTCTAGGACCTGTGTCTAGGACCGACATTTAACGTCTAGGACCTGTTTCTAGGGCCGACATTGAACGTCTAGGACCTGTGTCTAGGACCGACATTGAACGTCTAGGACCTGTGTCTAAGACCGACATTGAACGTCTAGGACCTGTGTCTAGGACCTACATTGAACGTCTAAGACCTATGTCTAGAACCGACATTCAACGTTTAACACCTGTGTCTGGGACCGACATTTAACGTCTAGGACCTGTGTCTAGGACCGACATTTAACGTCTAGGACATGTGTCTAGGACCGACATTTAACGACTAGGACCTGTGTGTAAGACCGATATTGAAAGTCTAGGACCTGTGTCTTGGACCGGCATTTAACGTCTAGGACCTGTGTCTAGGACCGACATTTAACGTCTAGGACCAGTGTCTAAGACCGACATTTAACGTCTAGGACCTGTTTCTAGGACCGACATTTAACGTCTAAGACCTGTGTCTAGGACCGACATTTAACGTCTAGGACCTGTGTCTAAGACCGACATTGAACGTCTAAGACCTGTGTTTGGGACCGACATTGAACGTCTAGGACCTGTGCCTAGGACCTACATTGAACGTCTAAGACCTATGTCTAGAACCGACATTCAACGTTTAACACCTGTGTCTGGGACCGACATTTCTAGGACCGACATTTAACGTCTAGGACCTGTGTCTAGGACCGACATTAGGACCGAACGTCTAGGACCTGTTTCTAGGGCCGACATTGAACGTCTAGGACCTGTGTCTAAGACCGACATTGAACGTCTAAGACCTGTGTTTGGGACCGACATTGAACGTCTAGGACCTGTGCCTAGGACCTACATTGAACGTCTAAGACCTATGTCTAGAACCGACATTCAACGTTTAACACCTGTGTCTGGGACCGACATTTAACGTCTAGGACCTGTGTCTAGGACCGACATTTAACGTCTAGGACCTGTGTCTAGGACCGACATTTAACGTCTAGGACCTGTGTCTAGGACCGACATTTAACGTCTAGGACCTGTGTCTAGGACCGACATTTAACGTCTAGGACCTGTTTCTAGGACCGACATTTAACGTCTAAGACCTGTGTCTAGGACCGACATTGAACGTCTAGGACCTGTGTCTAAGACCGACATTGAACGTCTAAGACCTGTGTTTGGGACCGACATTGAACGTCTAGGACCTGTGCCTAGGACCTACATTGAACGTCTAAGACCTATGTCTAGAACCGACATTCAACGTTTAACACCTGTGTCTGGGACCGACATTTAACGTCTAGGACCTGTGTCTAGGACCGACATTTAACGTCTAGGACATGTGTCTAGGACCGACATTTAACGACTAGGACCTGTGTGTAAGACCGATATTGAAAGTCTAGGACCTGTGTCTTGGACCGGCATTTAACGTCTAGGACCTGTGTCTAGGACCGACATTTAACGTCTAGGACCTGTGTCTAGGACCGACATTTAACGTCTAGGACCTGTGTGTAAGACCGACATTGTAAGTCTAGGACCTGTGTCTAGGACCCACATTTAACGTCTAGGATCTGTGTCTAGGACCGACATCAAATGTCTAGGGACTGTGTCTAAGACCGACATTGAAAGTCTAAGACCTGTGTCTAGGACCGACATTTAACGTCTAAGGCCTGTGTCTAGGACCGACATCTAACGTCTAGGACCTGTGTCTAGGACCGACATTTAATGTCTAGGGACTGTGTCTGAAACTGACACTAAACGTCTAGGACTTGTGTCTAGGACCAACGTTAAACCTCTTGCACCCATGTGTAGGAATGACATTAAACTCTTGAACTGTTGTCTAAGACCGACATTAAACTGTAGGACCAGTGCCATGGACCAACATTAAGGATCTGCGTCTAAGGTCGAAACTGTTGTACCTGTGTCTAAGACCTATTTCAAACTGTATGACCTGTGTCTAGGACCGACATTCAACTAACGCTCTTTTTAAACGAAGATCTCCTACGTGATCTGGTAGATAAAGCGTTTGACCAAACAACGGGAGCATGGTAGTTTTTGAACGCCGGTTGCGTCATTCTAAAATATGTATAAAGTTGGCTCTAAGACATCAAGGAGATAAAAGCCCTGATTGAGAGATTCCATGCACGTCGTTACAAACCCATTGATCCCCATTTCACCTAAAAACCTGGAATAATGTTCAAAGCGGGGTTAAAAAAAAACTCACTCATACAACCGTTTTATGTAAGCATCGGCGTGCATTGTCTTCGATAAAATGTCTTGTGGCCTGCCATGGGTATCTGCAACCAGAGGACGTTTAAACCTTTTTCACAAAATATTTTATCAAGGCTAACAAATTAATCTACAAACATGAAGGTGGCAGCACGACGTCTCACACCACCCTCACTCAGGCCACCCTGGCGGACAGACTGTGGACAATAGACCCGGACAGGTTCGACACCCAGGACGTCCATCTGAACACCGGCAGCCGCACCTATCCAGGCAACACCGCCGACACATCACCGTTACCGTGAGTTGACATAGCGCAAAGGATACAACAAGAATACCATCTTTCTTCTACAGATTCTGTCAAATCTCTATCATTCGGGCATTGTTGACCGATTGTAGAGTCTTTCCATGGATTAATCAGTTAATCTGGACGATGATGGTTGAACGGAAATTACATGTGGTGGCGGGAGTTAGTTGATTAAATGTAGACAAACGGTCGTTTTAATCCTGACAGTTGCTGTAACGTCCAAACACCGCACTCAGCAATATTCCAGCTATATGGCGGCGGTCTGTAAATAATGTAGCCTGGACGAGACAATACGGTAATCAACAGCATGAGCTTCAATCTACGCAACTGGGATACGATGGCACGTGTCAACCAAGCCAGCGAGCCTGACCACTCGATCCCGTTCCTCTGACAACGTGCATAAGTTCCAGAAGACCGATTCTAACTCGGATCTTCGCGGGTATGGGGTTTAGTAGATCGATGCATATGGTGTCAGGAAGGGGATATGCTGGTCCAGTTAGCAAGCCTGACCACCGGATCCCGTTAGTCGCCGTAAGATAAACATATCTTACGCCGTAAGAGGCGACTAACGGCATCGGGATGTCAAACTCGCTTGGTTAGCACATGCCATCGTGTCCCAAATGGGTAGATCGATGTTCATGATATTGATCACTGAATTGTCTGGTCCAGTCTCGATTTCGCCGTCAAATAGCTGGAATATTGGTGAGTGCGGCGTAAAAGTAAACTCACTCACTGTTCAAGGCTGTTCTCAAGTGTCAACTCCAACCTGTTGTCCCGCCCGCTGTACAAGACTCTGTTTGCACTGTACGACGACTACGAGCCCCGCTTGGGTGTGTCTGATCCCCTGAGTGTGTCTGATCGGGTGGACATAAGTCACTTTCTGGATGTCGTGATGGCGTCTCCGGTAATGAAGGAAACTCACACCTACCTCGAGGACCACGGTAAGTTAAGTCCAGGATGTGTGGCTACATCTCCTGTTAGACATTCACTGTTGTATCAAAAACATTTCAACCCACCATGTACCCAATCACTGCTGACACATCAATATCAGGTACTCATATGCTGCTCTATAAACATGTCTTCCCTGTGGGTACCCCTTCCCTGCCTTGTCATATCGAACACTTCCTACCGGGTACCCACTCACTGCTGCCTTACTGATATCGACTGGGTACCCACTCACTGCAGCCACACGGATATCGGATACCATACCAAGTCTCAGCTGTACAAGTGTAATGAACATATCACTCCAACTGGATGCCTGGCCATTGCCGAGGCGGTAGGATAGTCTTGTGGTTAAAGCGTTGCTCGTTGCGCCGAAGGCCCGGGTTCGATTCCCCACATGGGTACAGTGTGAAAAGCGGGGATGGAGGGGGAGGATTTAGTTGATGTGGTCGTAGTGAATTTCAAACAAACGAGCAATTCCATGTCTACAATGACACTATGTCTAGCTTCTTCTAGCTGATTAATATCCTGAGCATCGATGAACGCAGTTGAGTTACGGTGTCATACTCTCAACCAAGACACTATATCAGATGATGGGATAACAAAAGCATGTTACCGGGGATGCATATTTTTACCCTTCATCCCCATTGCATTGCAAACTAACGGGATCGGGTGGTCAGGCTCGCTGACCTGGTTGACACATGTCATCGGTTCCCAATTTGGTAGAACGATGCTCATGCTGTTGATCACTGGATTGTCTGGTCCAGACTCGATTATTTACAGACCGCCGCCATATAGCTGGAATGTTGCTGAATGCGGCGTAAAACTAAACTCACTCACTCCAGCATTGCAATATTTGTGTTTCCTACCTTCGTTCCAGGTCTATATACTGGTGACATGACTGCCTTCAGAAAGAAGATATTTTCACTGTGGTTCGACCCCTACCCGAGATCTAAAGGAAAACCCAACGACAGCAGCGCCTTTGAACACGTGTTTGTAGGAGAATATAAGGGCACGAAGACCGAGGGTCTCCACAACTGGGTGCGTTTCTACTACGAGGAGAAGGCTGGTCACATCAACTACCTGGGATACAGCAAACAGCACGGGGTAGGTACATCTTGCTCCTGAACCTTCGGCTCGTTTTCGCTTTTAGCAATATTCCAGCAATATCACGGCGGGGGAGACCAGAAATTTTCAATTTATATTCTTATTTTGTTGTTTTTGGTTTTTGTTTTGTTTTCTGAAGCTGTAGCTGAATAATGAATAAAAGCATCACAAAGTGAATTTTTTTACAGAAAACACTATCGTTATAAGAAACGTTGTTATAACGTTGTGAGGAGCCCAAATTATAACGTTTCCTCAACGTAAATTTGCAACGTTGTTATTACGTTGTGAAATAATGTTATAAAATGAGGGGCGGTGGGGTATCCTAATGGTTAAAGCGTTGGTTCGTCACGCCGAAGACCCGGGTTCGAATCCCCACATGGGCACAATGTGTGAAGCCCATTTCTGGTGTCCCCCGCCGTGATGTTGCTGGAATATTGCTAAAAGCGGCGTAAAACCAAACTCAGTCAGTTATAAAATGACGTTATACTAAGGTTGTGACAACGTTGTGTCATGATGTTACCGATCTTGCGAAAACGTTGTGTGTGGGTTTTTTTGTAGCTGAGAAACGTTTTGGACCAGGTTGACACAACGTCAGATAGGGAAATAGGCCTCTATAGTAAACCAAGTCACTAACCCACATACTAATCCCAACGATTATACATTTGCAGCAACAATTGTTGAAATTCCCATTTACCTGGAACGGCCACTACAAAGACACCAACTCCTTCATCATTGGCTCCAGTCCGGTCTTCGACATGGCTCTCGGCACCGTGTGCTTCCTCACCAAACCCAATTCGGAGTGTGCTTTCAGCCTCCATGGTTACCAGTTCCGGATAAAACAGTACGACGCTTCCAACGCGGCTGGGCCCCAACTAGCAACGGCGTACGTCGTCTTCTAGACCAGTGGTGGAAAATATCACAGCCCATGCCCGTAACTACAGGCATTCACATCAAGGCATCGCTCGAGTATTTTATTCACAGATACAAAATGACAATCCTCACATTCAATAAACTCGTGCTGAAACAAAATCTCAAAATATGTTGTTTTTATGTACTTTTCACAATATATTTCAATCGAAGTTTTGAAAATATGTTCGTTTGTGAACCGATAATTACCCCCCTACGTTTGCGAATTAAAACAGGAATGATGGCATTCCCAATATTAAAGGTCTTTCCATTAACAGTTTTGACAAAGACGTGTCATTAAAATAGCTCCTGCTGAAAAATATATCAAAATAATATTTCTTACGCACATTTTACAATTAATTTTGCATCGAAGTTTTAAAAATATATTCATTTGTGAACCGATGTTAACCCCAACGTTTGCGAGATGAAACAGGGACGACACCATTCCCAAAGGTTATTCAATTAACAGTTTTGACAAAATGATGGTATCTACGACAATGTTAGCTGTCTCCGAGTGCGGCATATATGCTATATAAAACATAGCTTCAAACAACCCCAACCCTATTTTAATTGGGAACTTGCACATTTAGTGAGTATGTGAAACGCCGCATGGGTACAATGTGTGAAGCCTATTTCTAGTGTCCCCCGCCGTGATATTGCTGGAATATTGCTAAAATCATACCCACTCACCCACTCATTTAAGAGTATCATGTTTTTATGTGTTTCACGTAACCACCAAATTCTGAACAGGGATCAGTCGGTCGGGAACAAAAGGAAAAAATAATAATAAAGACAAAATTATCTGAATAATGTTCTTGATTCTCATTTATTGTAATTCTTATTACAATTTCTCGCGTTCTTTAGAATTTTGGCAGCGACTGATTACAAGACAAACATTTTATACGACGAGGCGGTACGTTTTAGCTTCGAGTCGGCGGTGTTGGAAGGGAAAACAATTGGACGAGGGGGGGATCGGCAATAAAGTTAAAAGGGTCGGGCGATGAGAAACACAAAAAATAAATATTCTGTCTTAATGGCTTGTCCGCAAAAATGCCACGGAAATGCAGGTTTTGGATGGTCACCCTGAAAGCAGTGGGCACGGGTTTAGTGGTGGCAAATTAAGAATATAAATCGGTGCAAAAGCGGGATTCGAACTCACACTCAGAAGAACTCATATTTTAGAAATTCAGATAAACTGAAAACAGAGTGTCTTCGGCCAATCGCCAACTGGACTCAGTACGGATTTCGAGATCAGATTCTGGGGTCATCAGTGGCTGGACTGGACACCTGTGATTTCTTTAATATTAAAATACTTGACAGAAAGCAGGTCAGTCACGTGTGCCAACACTCAAACAAAGCCTTTTTAGTTACCCTATCAGTTCTTATCGCATCCTGGGAGTGTCAACTTGACACCTCAGTACTTTCTACCTAGACTGAGAATCGTCGTCTGAGTGCCAGAATGGGTCTCCGCACCGGGAACCTGGGTCAGTCAGTTCAGGTGTTTGAGTGTCGTGTCATTATCAGTCTATACCGACAATAAACACTGCTGTTGGCAAAAACTCCAACTCTGACATTTCTTTGTTTGTTTTGGGGTTTTTTGTATTTTTTTTGTTTTTGTTTCTTTGTTGTTTTTATTTTCGTTATTAACCAGCTATATGATGACATTCAGTAAATAATCGAATAGGTGAGGTGAGGTGAGGTGAGGTGAGGTGAAAAGGGGTGAGGTGAGGTGAAAGGGGTTTAACGTCGTACTTAAGAATATTTCGCTCATGTGACAACGTGCATGCGTGTGTACGTGTGCCTGCTTGCGGGTACAGCTTTCTGAGAGGGTGTGTGTTTTGCACACTCTTGAGAAGGGGGTGGGTGCGCGCTTCATTTTCACGAGAGTTTCAATGGTCATTTAATAAACTTTCAGGACAAAAGGGGGTTGCGCACCCCTGCACCCCTCTCTGGATCCACCTATGTGCTTGTACTATCCCAGACATAAAATGGTTTTATAGTGCTAGCCCACTGAGATACCATGCCGCAGTGAAGCATGAATACCCCACTCAGACACATTATACTGACTCCGAGCCGACCAGTCCTTGTCGTACCTATTAATGCCGAAAGCCAGGCAGGGACCAACAAGTACCATATTTTAACGTCTTTTGGTTTGACGTACCCGGGCATCGAACCCGGGACCTTCCGCTCTCTGGGCGGACGCTCTAACCACTACGCGGAGGCGGTCAAATAATCGTATAAATAATTAGGCACCCAAATGGTCAGACTGGGTGACAAGGTGTTTAAGGTGTTCTCGATGTCGTGGATCGCGGTGGTGTTCCTGCTACTGTCCACTGGTTTGTTTGGCCAAAAGGGTCGCCGTCCAGCGAGCAATAAAACCCCGCGAGGTACATTATCACCAGAGAAGGCTTGGGAACATGTGCGACTGACAATGTGTTGAAGTGAGTCTAGTACATTGGTGAAGGCAGCAAACAGTTTGTAGATTTGCACGAGTGAAGACTCAGGAATATGTGAGACTGAGAATGTGTTGAAGGTGTATGGCACATTACTGTCTGCAACAAACAAACACCTTGTGAGTCACATGAGGACAAGAGTGCAGTCGGGCATCTGGGACACTGAGTTAGTGTTGACAAGTATCTGGAACATTGCTGAGATCAACAAACAAACAAATTGCGAGTTAATACATCGAAATATTTGAGTCGGGAAATCTTCGTGAGTGAACCAGTGTTGACAAGTATCTGGAACATTGCTGAGAGCAACAGACAAAATGCGAGTTAATACATCGAAATATTTGAGTCGGGAAATCTTCGAGAGTGAACCAGTGTTGACAAGTATCTGGAACATTGCTGAGAGCAACAGACACAATGCGAGTTAATACATCGAAATATTTGAGTCGGGAAATCTTCGAGAGTGAACCAGTGTTGACAAGTATCTGTAACATTGCTGAGAGCAACAGACACAATGCGAGTTAATACATCGAAATATTTGAGTCGGGATATCTTCGTGAGTGAACCAGTGTTGACAAGTATCTGGAACATTGCTGAGAGCAACAGACACAATGCGAGTTACCAAGGCACAAGAGAAGACTAAAGGATCACAAGAGTGGAGTCAGGAATCTGTGTGACTGAGCGTGTGTGTCGAAGAAGTCGGAAAATGAAGCGCACTTGTTTGTCCCTTGTTGATGGAAATGTCAGGTCAGGTGCCCCGCCCCTTGTTATTATGGCTCTTAGACAGAGCTCGGTGGTGATTCATTTCCGGCATGCGTGTGAACGTGTTGTCCGTCCATGAATCCCAACACCTCGCCTCTGCCCGTCAAATAAAGGTCAGCATTGCTTAACCACTACGCGAACCAATTGCCTGACTTGTGTGTCGTCTGCCCGTCGCCTGGGTAGATGCTTTCAATAAATAACGTACACGGCAAATTATGTGTTATAAAATTGTTGGACAATTTTGGCGAGCGTGTCACCTCGGAGGTTTAGGGTAATCGGAGTATGTTGAACACAACAGTTTTGCCTTGAGCCATTAGGGAAGTCAGTGGAGGCTGCTGCATCATATATACCCATGAATTTTACCATAGCAACTTGGTTTGTATACACGGCTGGGAGATGGACATGTAGTGTAATATACATAACATTATCATGTTTTGCAGATTAAGAATAAAACGCAACAGAGAGGAGTTGGGTGGTAAGCTCATCATCAGGTCCGGTACCCGTGTCCCTTCTTCAAGATGGGTCGACAGCGAACTGGACTTCACTGCCAAGCCGAACCCACCAAGAAATTTCCGAAGAATATGCATTACTCAGAGTCTCGGAAGTGCCGTGCTCCAAGTGGAGATCAGGAGGTACCATTCCAATGGTTTTGGGAGCTGAAACAGTGTACATGGGATGCAATGAGGTCCTCTTTATTTATCATGTTTTTCCTGAATCTTGTCAATGACATTGCTGCCAAAAGGGACAGACAATTCAATAACATACATATATTCATTGGCTTTATCAAAAAGGACAAGATCAGGTTTGTTAGCAGGAATATGTCTCAGGCTGTATATGGGCCTGTCTCAAAGAAGTTTAAACGCATCATTTTCCATGACTCTCTGGACATGTTCAATGTAGCACCATGCATGGACCTCGGGGTGAAAGCCACATCGATGTCGAAGATGATAATACTGGTAATGAGTAATGTTATTATGCCCTATGGGACATGCTGTTTGTGCCAAGGAAGGACAACTACTGACAAGGTGCTGAACATTCTCAGTAAACTCATTGCAGAGTTGAAGTTGATGTTATCATTTTCTTAAAAAATCATATTTCTGCGTTTACGAGTGGGAAGTGACTGGTCCTAGGCGGGAGAAAAAAAGCCCTCTGTTTCATTTTTAAACCAGTCGACCTTATCCAGGCAAAAGGGTCGATCAGATTGTTATTTTGTAGCTCACAGTGCATATATGGACACGGTACTGTTGTTTCTCAGTCATCTTCTCCTTAATGACCGACTCTGGGCAGACTTCCTATGGCTGTACCGTCCAGTAGTACATCACCATCAACAAAATCAGCCTCGAATCCTGGCTTACAATAGCTGTGAAACTCATTGCTTTCATCACGAGTTTTGACATGCATCACCAGAGACTCATCAGATAAATACATATGTGCAGAGGTACACAATATAATTCAATAAGAGCATTTACATTAATCCTACCCAGACCATTCGAATAGATTGCCATATATAAACGATTAAAATATAAGAGAGGAACGTGGATGATGGGCTCTGATGTCAGGATGTCTTGCTTTGTCCAATCAACTACGCCAAAGGAATCGGACTGGCACAGAAGAGGTCTTTGTGACCTTGTTCAAGCATTTAGCAATGAGCTCCAGATTTTCTTTTAGCGAGATTTGTCTTGAATTTGGGCATTCTGAACTTGCATCCCAAGACTGGTGTAGGCCTGATCTTCCACAAGATGACCCGCCCTTGTACCATGACTGATCCATCATCCATTACCTTGCCAGAGTATTGCATCAGTCGAGTCATACTGTTGTAATTAGAAAAGGACTTGGCAAGGAGAATTGTTGCTTTTCAGATTGGCGTCACCTTTGACAAAGGAGCTCGATGTCATCCAAGTGAAGGAGAGGAGG